TTTTGGTTTCTTTGGTTTCTTTTGGGTGAAATGTTAAATTTTCGCCCCGGTCAAATTTTGGTCTTGTTTTTTGGTTTCACTGTAAACTTCAACCCTGCGTACTTGAGTCATGATCAGACCCCACCCCCCTGGATGATGATGGACGACGTCGATGATAATTATCATCGTAGAATCCTCTGCATTGCCAATGCTGTCTAACGTTACTTTTGAAATGCATATAAGAACAAGAAAGAGATGATGATGACCATCAGGATGGTGATGAGAAGAGTGATGATGATGATGATGACGACCATCATCATGATGATGATGAGGAAGATCCTGATGATGACTGTGATGATAACTATCATCGTAGCATCCCTTGCATCACCAGTGCTCCCTAATGAGAGATGATGATGACCGTGATGATAATGATAATAAGGATGAGGACTGTGATGATAATTATCATCGTAGCACCCTCTGCATTGCCAATGCTGTCTAACGTTACTTTTGAAATGCATATAAGAACAAGAAAGAGATGATGATGACCATCAGGATGATGATGAGAAGAGTGATGATGATGATGCTGATGACGACCATCATCATGATGATGATGAGGAAGATCCTGATGATGACTGTGAGGATAACTATCATGGTAGGATCCTTTGCATCGCCAGTGCTCCCTAATGAGAGATGATGATGACCGTGATGATAATGATAATAAGGATGAGGACTGTGATGATAGTTATCATCGTAGCATCCTCTGCATTGCCAATGCTGTCTAACGTTACTTTTGAAATGCATATAAGAACAAGAAAGAGATGATGATGACCATCAGGATGATGATGAGAAGAGTGATGATGATGATGCTGATGACGACCATCATCATGATGATGATGAGGAAGATCCTGATGATGACTGTGAGGATAACTATCATGGTAGGATCCTTTGCATCGCCAGTGCTCCCTAATGAGAGATGATGATGACCGTGATGATAATGATAATAAGGATGAGGACTGTGATGATAGTTATCATCGTAGCATCCTCTGCATTGCCAATGCTGTCTAACGTTACTTTTGAAATGCATATAAGAACAAGAAAGAGATGATGATGACCATCAGGATGGTGATGAGAAGAGTGATGATGATGATGATGACGACCATCATCATGATGATGATGAGGAAGATCCTGATGATGACTGTGATGATAACTATCATCGTAGCATCGCGCATCACCAGTGCTCCCTAATGAGAGATGATGATGATCATGATGACAATGATGATAAGGATGGGCCTGTGGATGAAACTTTCATCCGAGTAGCGCTGCAGATCAAGATCTGCTGTCTAACGTTACTTTTGAAATGATATAAGAACAAGAAAGAGATGATGATGACCATCAGGATGGTGATGAGAAGATGATGATGATGATGACGATGACGACCATCACTGATGATGATGAGGAAGATCCTGATGATGACTGTGATGATAACTATCGGTCCCTTAGATCCTGGCATGGTGCTCCCTAATGAGAGATGATGATGACCGTGATGATAATGATGATAAGGATGAGGCTGTGATGAAAACTTCATCGTAGCATCCTTGCATTCAATGCTGTCTAACGTTACTTTTGAAATGCATATAAGAACAAGAAAGAGATGATGATGACCATCAGGATGGTGATGAGAAGAGTGATGATGATGATGATGACGACCATCATCATGATGATGATGAGGAAGATCCTGATGATGACTGTGATGATAACTATCATCGTAGCATCCTTTGCATCACCAGTGCTCCCTAATGAGAGATGATGATGACCGTGATGATAATGATGATAAGGATGAGGACTGTGATGATAATTATCATCGTAGCATCCTCTGCATTGCCAATGCTGTCTAACGTTACTTTTGAAATGCATATAAGAACAAGAAAGAGATGATGATGACCATCAGGATGGTGATGAGAAGAGTGATGATGATGATGATGACGACCATCATCATGATGATGATGAGGAAGATCCTGATGATGACTGTGATGATAACTATCATCGTAGCATCCTTGCATCACCAGTGCTCCCTAATGAGAGATGATGATGACCGTGATGACAATGATGATAAGGATGAGGCCTGTGATGAAAACTCTCATCGTAGCATCCTTTGCATTGCCAATGCTGTCTAACGTTACTTTTGAAATGCATATAAGAACAAGAAAGAGATGATGATGACCATCAGGATGATGATGATGATGACGACCATCATCATCATGATGATGATGAGGAAGATCCTGATGATGACTGTGATGATAACTATCATCGTAGCATCCCTTGCATCACCAGTGCTCCCTAATGAGAGATGATGATGACCGTGATGACAATGATGATAAGGATGAGGCCTGTGATGAAAACTGTCATCGTAGCATCCTCTGCATTGCCAATGCTGTCTAACGTTACTTTTGAAATGCATATAAGAACAAGAAAGAGATGATGATGACCATCAGGATGGTGATGAGAAGAGTGATGATGATGATGATGACGACCATCATCATGATGATGATGAGGAAGATCCTGATGATGACTGTGATGATAACTATCATCGTAGCATCCCTTGCATCACCAGTGCTCCCTAATGAGAGATGATGATGACCGTGATGACAATGATGATAAGGATGAGGCCTGTGATGAAAACTCTCATCGTAGCATCCTTTGCATTGCCAATGCTGTCTAACGTTACTTTTGAAACGCATATAAGAACAAGAAAGAGATGCTTGATGAGAAGATTGATGATGATGATGACGACCATCATCATGATAGTGTGATGATAACTATCATCGTAGCATCCTTTGCATCACCAGTGCTGCCTAATAAGAGATGATGATGCCCGTGATGAGAATGATGGCAAGGATGAGGACTGTGATGATAACTATCATCGTAGCATCCTCGGCATCACCAGTGCCGGCTAATAAGAGATGATGATGTAAGGGTGAGGACTGTGATGATTGCTATCATCGTAGCATCCTCTGCATTGCCAATGCTGTCTATCGTTACTTTTGAAATGCATTTGAGAACAAGAAAGAGATGATGATGACCGTCAGGATGATGATAATTATCATCACAGTCCTCATCCTTATTATCATTATCATCACGGTCATCATCATCTCTCATTAGGGAGCACTGGTGATGCAAAGGATGCTACGCTGATAGTTATCATCACAGTCCTCATCCTTATCATCATTGTCATCACGGTCATCATCATCTCTTATTAGGCAGCACTGGTGATGCAAAGGATGCTACGATGATAGTTATCATCACAGTCATCAGGATCTTCCTCATCATCATCATGATGGTCGTTACTTTTGAAATGCACTTGAGAACAAGAAAGAGATGATGATGACCATCAGTCATCATCAGGATCTTCCTCATCATCATCATGATGATGGTCGTCATCATCATCATCACTCTTCTCATCATCATCCTGTGATGATAACTATCATCGTAGCATCCCTTGCATCACCAGTGCTCCCTAATGAGAGATGACTGTGATGATAACTATCATCGTAGCATCCTCGGCATCACCAGTGCCGGCTAATGAGAGATGATGATGACCGTGATGATAATGATGATAAGGATGAGGACTGTGATGATAACTATCATCGTAGCTTCCTCGGCATCACCAGTGCCGGCTAATAAGAGATGATGGCGACCGTGATGATAATGATGATAAGGATGCTGCGGCTAGTAAGAGATGATGATGATGACCATGATGATAATGATGATAAGGATGAGGGCTGTGATGATAACTATCATCGTAGCATCCTCTGCATTGCCAATGCTATCTAACGTTACTTTTGAAATGCAGAAAAGAACAAGAAAGAGATGATGATGACCATCATGATGATGATGAGAAGAGTGATGATGATGATGATCAGATGCAGCATCGCTCATGATGATCATGATGATCCTGATGATCATCACTACGCATCTCCAGCATCACCAGCAGTTACCGTGATGATATCCTGATGACAATCATCACTATGCATCCCCTGCATGCGCAGCAGCTGTCATATCAATCATGACTAAAATGCATCACTGCATTCCAAGCCGGGTTGAACGGCAAGCTTGAAACGTAGAATGCTGATGACCCGGATGCTGCGAACCCATCACCCAACATCAGTGGTGCTGATAAACATCACGAAGACAAGGACGAATGCAAGCCCTTCCCATGCGCCTCCCCTTTGGAGAAAAGGGGTCGGCGGATAACATAGGTTATAGGTTAGGTAACATGGGTTATAAGTTGGTTAAGTGGAACCCTAAGTAGTACCTAAGTATAACTCGAAGTTAAGTCAGCCGTAAGTTAGTTAGGTCCCACTTACCCGACTTAGCTTAAGTGTAGTCAAACAAGTTAGGTTCGACTTAGGTTCGACTTAGGTTCGACTTACGTCCTCCTTTTTTTCGCACATGTCGCGCCATCCGTTTGCATCTCATTTACGCTCCAAACGTGTGAAAGTACATCTGTGGCTCGCGCGACCGACCGCAGCAACTTTTGGGCTCCACGGTGGATAACATATAGACCGCCCACTGAGTCGATCCCATGGCCCAAGCAGCAGTGACGGCAATGGCTCGAAGCCTCCAGCGCATGGCAGAGCAAGCGCCCACCGATCGCGCAGAGCATCTTGGAGGTTGACCTTTTTTAAAGTCTTTACTTGGGGCAGGGCATGATTTTCTTGGTTTTTGTAAAAAAGGGGGGGTGTCGGCCACCTGTCGGCCTTTGTCGGCCCGTGGATTTTTTTGAAATGCGGCAGTGGGAGAGTCGTTGGCCAGGCGTCGGCCCGCCAAAAAACGTATGGTTTTATAAGATTTCCGTGTCGGCCTCCGTCGGCCCGCGTACGTCGCATGAACCCATGGCATTCCTCGCATGTCGGCCCGGAGTCGGCCCGCTTATCGGCCTCCGGGCAAAAACCTAAGTTCTTGTATCTTCCGCAAGCTGCGTGGCTCAAAGGGCTTTTCTTGCGGCTGCGTATATACGGGCCATGGACGCATCCCCGCCCAGCACGGCTCAGCCGGCCCAGCCCGAAGCAGACGAAGCGCCAAAGCCCTTGCTCTGTCAGATCTGTAAGCACGAAAAAAAGGCGAGAGCTGCGAAAAAAGGCGCTGTCCTTCCTGAGTTGAACAAAAAACTCTTTCGTATGGCCTCCTGATATATAAAATAATATAAAAGCCCATCCTCTAAAAACAGAAAAGCCACCCAAGAGAAACCTACTTAGGTCCTACTTATAACCTCGGTCTAAGTTGGTCGTAAGTAACTTATAACCGACTTAACATAAGTTGATGTTAAGTAACTTATAAGTAGGGTAAGTTGGTCCTAAGTGGAACAAACCTATAGAGTACTCGTGTGTCACAGGAGCTACATTTGCTCCATCAACAACATTGTGGACGTCATCGCTACCTCGCCCGCCGCCCATTTCGCCAGTCAAGTCGCGATGCCGAAAGGGGTGGCCTGATTTATTTTGTTTTTGTTGACAGTGGCTATTTTCTGACTTGTCCAAAGCCAACCTTTTGACCTTTTGGTTTCCTCTTTTTGGTCCATTGTAGGTCATGGCCCCAAAAGCTTAACCTTTTATCTCTGGGTCCTTTGGGCAACTGAGTTGTAGGTAGGGACATCATGTCAATGTGAAACGTGGTTTCTTGGAAGTGCTGGGCTTATGACTTTTGGTGTATCAAGTCACGGACCACAAAAAGGGCTCCCTATCAATGTGGGGCTTGCGCCTCTAAAAATGGCCCAGACAGTTCTCGGCGGTTTGCGGTAAGATGTTCCGGTGATATGTACGCATTGATATTTTTGCAATAGCTGGCTGTTTTTGCTGAGTAATGGGCCAGAGTCGAAGCATGAAACCACAATCGGAGCATGACTCGAAGCTTTTTGGCGACAAAAGCCGAGGATACAAAAGCCCCGCAAGATCTTGAAATTGAAGGCGGCTATTCGTAAGGTGAGTTTCTAGAATGTCTTATCTTTGGACAGGGCTCCTTACAAGATACATTTTGCCCATTTGAAACATAGCTTTTTCCACCAAAATCAAGGGAAACCACCATTTGCAAGGCAATGTTCAGGTGAAAAATGCAAGGATCCCTGCTGGAAACCAGGACTAAAGCAAGTTGCCTGTGCAACCTGTTAGGGGGGCGAACTCGCACCACCCGTGCCAGTGTGCTGACCTGTTTTGTGGCATGTTTCCTGTTGGTTTAAAAGAGAAGCGTTTGTGTGGAGGTACTTCTTGAGGGTTATGTAGGCTTAACGAGCCGAGAAGGGGGGCCCTCTCCCAGATGGACCCCGGAAAGGACTCCTTGGAAAGCTTTCCCCCTTTTTCCCGGCCCTCCTCTCCCAGATCAACGGCTTTCAAGGCCCGGACCCCTTGCCATTTTGGGGCTCAAGACACACACAGTACCTGGAGAGGGGTCATTGCCCAAACGGCGTCATTGACCCGTTTTGATTTCGGGTCAGGAGACTCCAGGTCCACGTCCTTCTGCCCCGCTTGGGAGAAACCGAAACCCAGCCGCCTCGCGCTTGAGGCCGTGGTATTTCGAGCGCCTTTGTGTGGTGCTGGCTCCTGCGGGTCGGCGGCTCAGGGGCGGGGGTACTCTCCACTCGGCGGGGAGGCGTTTGTTTTTTGTTTTTGTTTGTTTTTTTGTTTAAAGTGTTTTGTTTGTAAATTTTTAGATTTTTAGGGATTGTAGGGTTGTTAGGGTTGTTAGGGTTGTTAGGGTTGTTAGGGTTGTTAGGGTTTTAGGATTTTTGTGGGGGGCTTCCATTTAACCCGCTAAAAGTTAAACTTCGAGCGGGGGTTTTGAGGACGGGCTCCTGCCCACTAATCCGGGGGACCCGCTAGTCAGGAAACCCCATATCCCCCTATGTTTGTGTCACTTCCTCCGCAAAAAACCAAGCGCCGTGTTTTTTTTTGGTGCGGTTTGGTGGATGAATCCAGGCACCAGACCAGAGGCTGCCTTTCACTGGTCTGAAAAAGAAGCAAATTTTGGTTTGGGGAGGTAGCTGTGGATGGTTGCGAAATCCAAATCCCGCACCACTTGGGAAGCCATGGTTGAAACCATTGGTTTGTTGGCATTTGCAGAATCGGATCAGAAACCAGGGGTTCTTAGGTGGTGCGAAATGGATTTCGTAACCATCCACAGTATCACGCGCCTCGTGGCAGTTGGAAAGCCGTAGGCAGCGATCATAGCCACCTGGACCGCATGGCCGGGTCTCTGCGCACCCTCCGCATGGTGCGCCTCGCGCGCATGGCGCGGATGCCCAAAGGCTGCTTGGGAAGGGCTCGGAGCTTTTTTGGGAGGTAGCTTGGGATGGACAAAATCCGTTCGCACCACGAAAGGAAACCAAGGGAAAACCAGGTTTGTCGGTATTTACAGGGGAATCATCAGAAACCAGGGTTTCTTAGGTGGTGCAGGATTTCGTCCACCCACAGTAGCTTGGGACGGCGTTTGTTGGTCATTGGCCCATGTTTATTTCGGGTCAGAAGGAGACTCCAGGTAGAGGATTCCACCGGTGGCAAATCGACTCAAGAGGGTAAGAGGATAAATGGGCACCCCGTCCGTTTCACCACCAAACCGCCAATCCAACTACCTGGAGTCTCTTTCAGACCCTTAAAAGATGGTTGGTCATTACCCAAAATAGCCGGGTCATTGACCCATGTTAAAAGGGTCATGGAGACTCCAGGTAGCGGGTCCGTTGGATGAGTGGTCGGTCGGTCGGTCGGTCGGTCGGTTGTTTCTGTCTGCGTGTTTCTTTGATTGCAGTTTGTTGTTTGTTTGTTTGTTTGTTTGTTTGTTTGTTTGTTTGTTTGTTTGTTTGTTTGTTTGTTTGTTTGTTTGGTGTCTTTGGGTTGCGTTCCAGTTCAGGCGCATGCTTCAAGCCGCAATCTACAGTTGTTTTGTTTGCTGTGTTGTTTGCTTTGCGCTGCTAGTTCCGTGCATTGTTTGGCGCACACATTTTTAGATTGGCAGTCTCTCTCTGGAGTCTGGAGATGGTATGGTCTTGCATCCTGGCTCCATTTTTCGTGGGCCCACATATATCTGGTTTGGCCGTTTTGAACATCATCATGTTGGCCCAGTCCCATTTAAGGTGAGTGCCCCTTGGTCATGATGCGTTAAGGGGAACTGAGGGAAGCCAACAATTGTCTTGCCGACCACCCTTCAGAACTGAGAAGTTTTTACCTGGAATCTCCATGACCCTTAAAAAATGGGTCACTGACCCCATCATTTTGGGTAATGACCCCGTTTTTAAAGGGTCGTGGAGACTCCAGGTACAATCTTATGTGTCTTTTTTGTTGGCTTTCCTGTAGGCGTCGGGTCAGACCCCAGAAGGTTGCTTCTGGTTCTCTGGGTGGAATCTTATACTTTGGATGGTTGCGAAGTCCATTTCAAAGTTTCACCTCACCCCTGGTGCCTGATTCGATTCCCCCGTAACACCAGGAATGGCCTAGTTCCCTAGCCTCTTTGGCTTGGCATTGCCAAGTTCTGGCTGACCGATTCTCTGCCCAAATTCAAGGGAATCGTAAGCACCAGAACAAAAACGTGATTCTGTGAGTTGATTCCGGTTCCATTATTTTCAAGCATCGTTCTGTTCAAAAACCAGCCGTTTCTCGGGGCTTGGGGAAATTTGGTAGGGAGAAGGATGCCTGGAAGGAATGGAAATGGAAGGTACCCCTGGAGTTATGGGTTCAACCATGATTAGCTCATTTCTTTGTTGCATTTTGCTTGCATGTTAGGACTTTAACTTGTTGCCAACTCATGGGTTTTCCATTAAACCACTAAAAGCTAAGCCTTTAGCAGGGGAGCAGAAAGCAGCCGAGCTTTCGTGGTCCAGAGTAACGGTGACCTTCGACGGCTGGTTTGTAGGAGGTCAGGCCAATTGACTCGGACGGAAACATGGATTTGGGGCCTGTGGAACTCGATTTATGGTTCCATGTTGCCGATGACTAGATAAAATAAAGTCCAAACCCGGAAGTAGGGGCTGCCTTGGACTTTAGCCACTTTTCGGTTCTGAACCGGTTTAGTGGTAAATAAGTTCCAGACTTTTGGGGGCCAATCCACTTTTTTGGAAGTGAGTCTTTGAGTCTCAGCTCTTTCCTTCGATTCGAAGTGGACTAAACCCAGTTGCCTCACTTATCACCCTTCTAGCCTGCTCGGTTTAACATCCAATTAGGGGAAGCCACAACTCACTTCTGGAGTTCCTGGACTTTGTCCGACAAGGCTCCGAACAAGGGAAGCCCGAAGCCGGAAAATTCTGAGGCGCCAAGAAACACCGAGCCTTGAGTCGACCAGCGCGGTCTCTTCGATGGGCTCCGATTTGAAGAGCTCAGAGCCTTAGGTGGTTTGTTTAAACATGGAAGGCACTGGATAGATGGCACTGGCCCTGGACAAATAGACGGCACTGGTTTAGATGGGTTTCATTCCATTTTTACCAGGGGACATCTCTTTGTGCCCCCTTGTTGGCTGCCTTCTTACTTCTTAAAAACACAACTTTTCAGCTTTTTGGGTAACATGGGCTATATGTCTGTAAAAGATGAGAACTTCCCCAGGGCTTGAGGTGGAGGACCAGGGGCCCACTTTGGAGGTCCAAAGGCCCGGCGGCTCGAGAGAGAGTTTCAGGTGCGGCTCTTGCGGGTGCTGCGGCTCGCCAAGGTGGCGCGCCACTCTGAGGCGGCGCTTTTTTTTTTTTCCGGAGGTGTTCGAGTCTTCGCGTGAGTTGGGAGTGGTTTGGTGTTGTTTTTTTTCTTCGGAGGTGTTCGGGTCTTGGGGTGAGTTGGGAGTGGAGTGCGGGAGGTCGAGGGGTCGCTTTGCGCAGACAACCCATGTGGGTAATAAATATACATTTGGTCCATTTGGAGGGATCACCGGCCTACATACCAATCCATGTGGGTAAGATATACATTGTCTTTGTTGCATTTTGCTAACGGATGCTAGGACTTTAATTCACTTTTTGCCAACTAATGGGGTTGCCATTAAACCACTAAAAGTTAAACTTTTAGCAGGGGAGCAGAAAGCTACCGAGGTCAATTTCCCTATCTTGGAGGTTCGATGCCAAGGTGAGTAGGTTCTAACTATGATTACAAGTAGTGGGGTTGGTTCCCTTAGAACATCCAAGAATGAAACTTCCCTATATACAGCCAGCCCAGCCGTCAGGTGAGAATCTGTAAGGCTCACTTCCTGAGTTCATGCACTTTACACTTTTTGGGAAGACCATTTTAGTGGTAATTATAAAGTTTGAACTTTTTTTGGGCCATCCACTCAGCCAGTGAGAAGGTCTTGGCAAGTGTCACTTGCATTCTCAGGCTTTCCAAGCAGGTATACACGGGGAGGGATGCCCAGAGTCTCAAATTCTTGACCGGCGCATTACAGCGGCACCGCTGTAGATCCAATGACCCCCTACCAAGGGGCGTGTTTTATTTTGGAGTTTCCGAATATCGTTCTGCTTTTGTGGCATACATAAGCTATTCGATAGTCTCACTCCCCAAGCCCAGGTCACTTTTTGGTTGGCTAGGATGAGGGGCGACAGAGTGTCAACACTTGGCAACAATAGGCACAATGGATATCACTGGGAGCCGACAGAGAGAAGTTCCACCAGTTGCCATGGTTTGAAAAGACGCTGAAACAAGCAGTGGCTATGCAGTCATTGGATTCGACCAAATGTGTTCCTCTTTGCAGGGCATGGGATTCTCTTTCCCTGTCTTCCCATCGTGTTCTTGGGGGCTGGAACATTCTAGTAAACCAATTTTCAATTTGCGTTTAAACGTTAAACAAAAACAAATCCGTGGCCTGTTGGTTTAGTGTTAAAGGGAACCTATCAGTGTTTGACATATGTTCGCACATTTTTCCAGGGGACGAAAAAGCAAATGGAGGAAATACAGTTTAGACTTTCTTTGAGAAATCCACTCGATCGGACGTGCGTTCCTGCGTGTCCAAGTCCATCACTCTGGGCCCACAGGGAGTTGCCGCCGGGAGTTGGCTGTGACAATCAAGGAAGCTCGCATTCTGTAACCCAGTGCTGCCGGGCACGCCATCATAATCGTCCTTTTGTCAAAGGCCCCCCAAAAAATCCTGGGAAGGGAAGGGGGAGGGAGCCCAAATGAGCTCTTCTCCCAGCCCTGTGATTCTGGGGTCCAAGATAGTTTGGCTTTTCGGAACACAAAGTCTGATTCCCAGCAACTAGGTATGTGCCAAACTCGAAATCCCAGAACATCTACCACGGGATCCCGCTCCTACCCGAGGAGGGCGTGTTTTTGGGTTTCAAGGAAAAAACGGCCGGGGGCTTCGCCGTTCAGCTGGTTCCATCAAAAAATACGCCGGGAGCCTCTGGAAATGGGATCCCAAGACCCCCCCCCAAAAAAAAAAAACGGGCGGCTTCCTTTGGGCCAAGCAAAAACCAAGACGAGAGGCGGAGAAAATCCCCCCCAAAAAAAACACGGGGGTGGCTTCCTGGCCAAGAGAGGAAACAAAAACAAGCCGGTGCTCCGAGAGATGTGGAACATCCCATGGGTCGCGGAGGAAACCCTGTTTTTGGGGTGGCTTCCTTTCAGCAAACAAAAAACGATGAAAATCAACAACAATAGGCGGAACATCCCCAGAAAACGATGGTGGCTTCCTTTCAGCAAAGAAAACAAGCCGAGATGTGGAATTTTCCCATCGGTCGCGGAGGTGATCTCCATCGTCTTGGAGAGCCTCTTCGAGTCCCTGACCGGCATCTTCGTGCTGATCTCCTTCGCGGGGATGCCCACCGAGCGAGGCTAACTGAGTGGGGGAAAGGCGAACCACCGAGCGGAGGCTCCAAATCTGACCCGAAATAAAAAAATGGGTCAATGACCAACCATAAGTTTGGGTAATGACCCCTGGGTGGGTGGGTGGGTGGGTGGGTGGGTGGGTGGGTGGGTGGGTGGGTGGGTGGGTGGGTGGGTGGGTGGGTGGGTGGGTGGGTGGGTGGGTGGGTGGGTGGGTGGGTGGGTGGGTGGGTGGGTGGGTGGGTGGGTGGGTGGGTGGGTGGAGTTTGGGTAATGACCAACCCCTTTTTAAGGGTCATGGAGACTCCAGGAATCCCAAAGTGGTTTCTCAGGGCCCAATTTTTTGGGGTGGGTGACGGTGGAAGGGTGGGTGGTGTGGTGTGTGTGGTGTGTGTGTGTGTGTGGGTGGTGGGTGGGTGGGTGGGTGGGTGGGTGGGTGGGTGGGTGGGTGGGTGGGTGGGTGGGTGGGTGGGTGGGTGGGTGGGTGGGTGGGTGGGTGGGTGGAGTTTGGGTAATGACCAACCCCTTTTTAAGGGTCATGGAGACTCCAGGAATCCCAAAGTGGTTTCTCAGGGCCCAATTTTTTGGGGTGGGTGACGGTGGAAGGGTGGGTGGGTGGGTGGGTGGGTGGGTGGGTGGGAGGGTGGGAGGGTGGGTGCAGTCGGAGACACGTGAATTGGTGTTGGTGTTTCCTTCGGCTTGACTGCCATGAATGTTGACCGCGGATATCGCGTCTTTAATGGGTTAGGCTCCTCAAAGTCAACCAAGGGTTTACTTTTTCTGGCTTGCGAATTTCATCCATCGCCCTTGTAAGAAGCCACTGAAATATCCTGGATCTTGTCAATCTGTGGTGCCCTATTACAACCCTTTGGTAACCCACAGTTTCTTTCGGTGCCCACGTTTCCAGATAAAGCTCTTTTGGTACCCACTGTTGAGCGATCAAATTTATTTTGGTACACACCCACTAAGAAAAATCAAAGCCTTTTGGGTACCCCCCCGAAGTACTGAACATTTTCTTTCGGCACCCCACCCCACCTCCCCCAAAGCACAAACAACTGTCGGTAACCCCCCGACTTCCTGAAGAGGCGCTAGGTCCCCAGTAGTACCCTTTCTCACCCTTTTTTGTTCGGGAGGGTTGGGGGCAGCTCTTAAAATCACCCATCGCCCAAACCCAAACCAACAAAATAAAAACACCCTTCCACACAACAAAATGAAAAAAATGCACCACCAGAAGAAAACGCAAGAAACAAAAAAACAAAACGGCATCAATGAGTAGTGGGAAATCCCCACTTAACTGCCAAAAAAACAATTTTTGCTCCCCTTCCAACGTCAACCAAGATATAAACTATCCCTTGTGGCTTCCTTTTTGGGAATCGTTCAGCTGCAATTTTTGGGGATACCAGCGCCGCAACAGCTCCCTTCCGACTGACAGCTGGAATCCGTTGTTTCAGGGCTCGGCAGCCAGAAATAGGACTGTGTTCCGTGTTCCCTACTAAAATAGACTACAGAAAAAAAGGAGTTGGTACCCTAAACCCTAACCTCTTCACTGGAGGACCTAGTACTTTAGTGGTAGTTTTTCACAAATGTCAACCCCATATTAATCTTATTAATAGGGTGTCCTGGGTGAAATGTGGGGAATCTGACCACTTTATTTTGGAAGGGGGAACAGGCTCTTATTAATCTTCACCAGAATTAGCTCCCCTTTTGGCGTTTTTTGCTTGTTCGGGGTTCCCTTTTGTTTTCCACTAAGGCAAAAACGAGTTGTTTTTGTTGGGGTCCTAATTCCAGCCAAGAAATAAGCTGGGGTTAGCATGAACTTTCAGTCGCGCCTTGAGGTGAGCATGTGGGCTTTGGTCAGCGCCACGGTGGTCTACGCCGCTGAGCTGGGCACCCCAACGAAACCCGAAGATGGGGCCAGCTTTGTAGGGTTTTTTGTCTTTGTGTTTTGTTTGTTTTATGTGTTTCTCTTTTGTCCCTTTTTTTTTTTTTGGGGGGGGGGCGGTGTTTTGTCTCTTTCTTTTTTTTGGGGGTGGGGGGGGGGGGGTGGGGCGGGGGTGGTTATAGTAAGTAACCCCCCATACATTGTATCTTTATGTTTATGGATGTTTGAAACTTTGGATTTTGAGTAGTGTTGGCTCCCCACGCCCACACCCCCGCAGCGCCCCCAATTTGAGCAACCAGAAAGTCGTCGGCCGTTCCAGCCCCAACCAGAAAGTCGTCAGCTTTTTGTTTTCATTTTGTGGCCTGGACACATTCGAAGCAGTGTGCTGTTAAGGAGAGTTGCTCCAAGGAAGAACTTCTGACATTTCTGAAGAATACGCCTGCCGGACATCTGTTTTGAAACGAGCTGTTGGAGGAACTTTGGCACGGAGCATCCTCTCTTGATGCGGAAAGGCAACATGGTGCAATGTGTGCAGCCATGTGCATCATAATGAATCTGTCCCCTGCCGCCAAAGCAGTGTGATGGGCTGATTGCCGCTCTCGAGTATCATTGACAATGCTGCCCTGGGATTTGTTTGTGGGCTTTGCCAAAGCCCCGTGAGTGTCTATGAAAAGGAGAACCAGCCACAATCAGCAGAACTCAGGATAAGATAAGAGTGAAACGTGAGGAGGAGCTTCAATAGAGCGCTCACGGGGAGATCTCTTCAAGTGCTCGGATCTTCGGTTTTTTCCGGACCTTCACACGCCTCATTGGTTTATGACACTTGCGTCGGCCGTTTGCTTGAGACACTCAGGGTATCAATTCCTTGGCAGAGTCGAATGGGTTTGTCTTTTTTCAAGAGAACCGTTTGGGTTTAAGAGCAAACGAAAAGGGTGGCTTAAAAAAGACACATCCGAATTCTGACATTCCAACTAGTACCTGATGCGATGGTAAATTTATCTGTGCACATCGCCAGGTACATACCAAACCCGCGCAAGCGCGCCCAAAAGCCCCCCGGTTGGCTCTCGGAGAATCTACACGACTTTGTGGAGGGCGGGGCTATGACTATGTCACATGGGTATGCGTGTTTCTTTTAGACGCACCTTTTCTCAACAAAACAATAGTCTGGGTGCATTATAACGACCTCACACGACCTCACCCCAAATAGTGGTTTATGTGGGGAATGGCCCCCCAACCACCTTATTTCAGGCTGGTGAAATATGATAATTCGCCCAGAATCATGGCGCTTTTCCTTTCGGTTTCCCTTTGAAACCATCCAACAAGGGCAACTGAATGATTCTAGCGGCACCTTCCCCAGTTCAGGGGTCCTTCAGCATATAGCGCAGAGAGGGGGAGTGGGTGCTTGTGATCAAAATTGTTAGAGAAAGAAGCGGAGGTATTGCCAGAAGCCTTGGAACAAGAGTGGCGCCAAAAGTTATTGGCCATTTGACCAGGTGCTACCCAACAAGATGATCATGAGGGTTTTACAAACCTTTCTTGGGTGTTTATCTTCCGCCCCAAAAAATAAAATAAAATCAAGAACAAACAAACTCTTTTGACTGTTTTCCCGTTGGCTTCCCTCAACAAACGCCAAACAGGGAAACCCTCAAACAAAGGCAGACCCACATATCACCATTTTAGAAGTTGGGGGGCGGCGGGTCACCAGGCACTCGTTCGGCTCGGCTCGGCTAGGAGCGATGTGGAGGATACGATGTTCGAGTCCATCCCTGCCGGGCCCTAGGGCCCTCCAGAATCCATCTCTGGCTGTGGGGGTAGGGTTAAGCCCAGGGGTGGTTCAGGTTCCCACAAGGAACTGGTTTGGGGCTAGGGCTATCTTGGGGTAGTCAAACAGGGGAACCCTGAATCTAGAGGTGTGGCGCGTGTGTCTGTGTTTGTGGGTACCCTTTTCTCAGCTTTTTTAGAGGGAAACCAAAAGGAAGTCCGCCAATAAAATAGGAGTCCCCCCTATTTTAACACAGACACATGTTTGAGGTTCACAAAATAAACGGCGTTCTGTCCAAGGGTGTCAACAGGTAAACTCTGAATCCGGCAGCGATCAATGTCGTAAGGGACTCAAGCCTTTAGGCCCACTATCTGTGCGAAAGGAGCCCCTTCGAAAGTAAAAAGCAGGCACAAGGATGGCCGGGTTGCTTCCCACAACCCTGCAGCCTGTTTCCTCTTTGTTGCAGGGACACAGACCTCTTGAAACAAGTCAAGTACCGACATAAGCCCTGTCTTCCTCCTTTTCGGAGGGTGTCAGCCCCCTTGACACTCAACCACCAAATATTCACACGCTTGTCTCTTCCTTTGCGGGTGGGCTTTGGCGCCCCTCCAAGAATCGGAATTTAGATTCACCTGGCCCTGGATGTGAAGTCGGGCGGGGTTCCGGCATGGTGTGTTCCACGTCTATGGTGTTGCATGCGTGTGTGTGTCAGTGCGTCTTAAATTCAAAACCCCAACAGGATCCAAAAGGGCCGGTGCTCGATGTCCCCTTACAACCACCCAAAAAGGCGTCGCGAGCCCGAGCCAAAAAAAACGAGCGAGCCGCCCACTTGATGCTTTCCTTCTACCAACCTCTTGGAGCTGGCCTGGATCCACAGGTTGTGGATCTGCTGTCCAGAAAAGGATGGGCTCGAACATTCTCCTTATAGGTTTGGTTTTCAATCCAAACCTACTTATATCTTTAAGACAAAGATCAGATATACAGGGTGCATATAGGGTGTACGTATCTTAGTGGTGCATCCAACAAAAATCGAACTTTTTTTTGTAGGGCCCACCCCACCCCCTGCAGGGTCAACCGGGTGCGATTTTTTCAGGGACCTCCCGTTTTGGTTTTAAGGGGAAGCCAAAAGGAAAGTGGTTCCCCAAATTTTAAGGCAAAGTTTCGGGGAGTCAATGGATTCTTTCTTTTCAGATGCCCCCTTCAAGTGGCAAGCCATGTGGCCATTGTATTGTTTTAATTGGGAACCACCTCGAAGTGGTTGGTGGAAGCAGATCCCCAGCTAAATGATGTGCAAAGCGTCCCTTTGAACCCAGTCAAGTGCATGCTCATGCAGCTTCTGGGAAGTCGCGGAGTCTCGGCTCCTTGAGCCATGTCGCTCTGTTTTTTGGTGTATCAGGAAAAACCCTCAAAATGTGCTCATGAATTGGAATTTTCGGGAAGGCAGGGGCCAGGGGAGGTGCTATTTTTTATTTTTGGTGTGTGTATGGTCGAACCACCTTAAACTGTGCTTCTGGGATATTTTTTTGGGGGAGTCAGGGGGGTCGCTTTGGTTTCAGGCTGCGTTGTGGTGGTCCATGGCCACCATCTCCACGGTGGGCTACGGAGATATGGCCGGAGCCTCCAGCCTCGAAGCCGGCGAGTGCTCTGAATCTCCTCTTTTGGTGCCCGCTTCTCAGTTCTTCGGTGGCACCACTTTTCCTTTGCATTTTGCGAACGCATGTTAGGACTGAATGACTTTTTGCCAACTCATGTGGATTTTCCGAGTTTTCAACTTTTAGCAGGGGAGCAGATTTCGCCACCGAGTTTTTTGGTCCAACTTTGTTTTTGGGTGGCTGCCCCAAGAAAAATTTGGTCCAAGCCCCAAAACAGGGCTCCCTTTTTCTTTTTCTCGGGCACTGAACTGAGGCTTTCATGGGGTTTGGGGGGGAGGGGAGGAAGGGAACCCAAATGAGCTAAGCCCTTAAGGCCATTGGCTGCATTGCTTGGGCTCCCCCTCCCCACAGTTTTAGTGGTGCCAAAGGGTGCTTTGAGCAAGTGTCCCTTTAGTTGCTGTTCTCTTTGCCATTGGTTTCTTGTTGCTATTCTGTCTGTTTTGCGTGTGGTTGTTTCTGTGTTTGCTTGATTAGTTGTTTGCCTCTGTTCTTGGACAGGTTCCGTTGTTTCTTCTCTAGAGCCTCTTGTACTTCCAAACGACCTGAGAAAGGACCTTACATGATGCCTAGGAGACGATCACCCCAGTTCCCAACCACTTATAGCCATGGTCATATCCTTGGCAACGTCTGGGTACCTACCATGGTGGCTTGGGAGGCACCGGGTTGGGAGATCACGAAGTCAGGTCCTGACTCGATCTCCGATCCGCAACCATGGATCCAAGGGAAGCCAATGAGAGCTATACGACCCTGGCTACGGCTCACTTGGAGGTTTCACTTTTTGCCGAATAAGAAGTCTTTTTTTTCTGGCCAGCCCACTCAGGAAGTGAGTAGGCATGCTTGTTAAGTTAGTCTGGTTAGAACTAGATTGCACTGAGACTAGAATGTTGTTTGCGATGTACCAGGGTCATCGAGATTTTTCCCAAAGGTCACCTATGCCTGGCCAGCCATTGTGGCTGCACGGGGATCCCCGAGAACTTGTGACCACGCATCTTCAGCATCTTACCTCAAAATGGGATTAAATGGGCCTATGTCACTATGTCCAAGCATTGCAACGGTCCGGTTCGAGGTCCCTGCTGATGCTTAGTCTGAGTGGAATGTCTTTCTTGGGATCCAAACCACGCATTATTATTGTGGTTTAGTGGTTGAAATCCCCCTATTGCTAAATCCCCATGCAACATTTTTACATTATACATGTTTGTTGATTATTTTTTTTTGCTCCCCTTCCAACGTCAACCAAGGGAGTGGCGCTGGCGTTTTTCTACATAAATCCTGGTGCCAGGTTCCTCAAACTGCGATCGGGAAGCTGGTCGGGGGGGCCCGGGCGCCCCAGAGCAACGAGGGAAAAAGGAACGGGCTTTGCGCTCAGCTGAGCGGCGTTTCAGGAAGCTGCGACTTGGATGTCCAACCAACTCAAGCAGGATATAGCCATGGTTGTAACTTGGGCGATTGGGGTGATCGTCCACTAAGTTGGCTGAACATCCGAGAGAAGACCAGGTTCTTACCAATGCTGTTGAAGATGCTCACCAGCCAATGCTGTTGTGGATGCAGCCGCCAACCATCCCAATGGGGTAAGTCAAGGGTTTCGCAGCGCCTTCATGTGGTGTGAGTGCTTGGGTGTTCAAGCTACTTAGGAAGTAGGTCAAAACAATGGTTATAAGGGGACCAATCCCCCATGAAGTTTAAGAGTTAGAACCACCTCAAAATGGTTGGTGCACATCAGTCCTCTAAATGTTGTCCACCAACTCCGCTGTGCAAGATTCGACCGTTTGACCTTTTGGTTCTCTCTTCTTGGTTCACTTTTGTCTGCTTGGGGGTCAGAACAAAACAAGACAACCCGCTTGGTTCCAACCCTTCGTTCACGTCTGTTGGTTGCCTTCTTTTGATGGCGCAGCTTCGTGGGTGCCTTCCCCCGAAAGCTCCAATTACCCGGCCATGTTTTAACTTGCTTTCTGGGAAAGGGGAAATCCAGGATAAATACCGACCCCTTTAGTTTTTTTGGTCGACACACCCCCAAAAAAAAGCCCAAACCTGGGGCGCATTGACTTAAAGCCCGATTCGCACGTCGTGTGTGCCAGAGTTTCGAATCCACTGGCGCGAAATGAATGTCGTCAGCATGTCAGACCCCCCTTCCAGAAAAGAAGCAAAAAGGCCTACCTGGAGCCACCATGACCCTTAAAAAGGGGTTGGTCTTTTGTTGTCATTGACCCATTTTTATTTCGGGTCAGCAGGAGACTCCAGGTGGCGCTGCCCGGAACCTCCACAAAACCCTCACTCCGAGCGACCGCTTTAGCCCGGAGCTTTTAGATTGGCCTATCAGCCCCAGAGCTTACGGTTGGGGCAACAAAACTGTGCAAGAGTCTTCGGCAACCCACTATTCGTTTGGATGGCCTTGGAAATGTGGATTTCTGGTTCTGGAGATGGAAATTTGGATTTTTGGATTTTCGGATTTTTGGTTTTGGATTCTTGGAAATTTGATTTTGGCTTTGAGTTCCTGGTTCTGGATATGGAAATTTTGATTTTTGGACTTTGGGAAATTTGGTTTTGGATTTGAGTTCCTGGTTCTTGCAGAATGGCAACCTGTGCTTGGGCCCAAGGTTCAATCAAGGCCCAAAGCTCCCAGCGGACGTTTTGGGGCTTGGGCCTAGCCCTTTGAGCGGGCGCAACTGTGACGCGGCTCTTGTGGATTAATTCATGGGCTCTTTCAAAAGGCTGTTCATAAGCTACTTAGTAGCAGTGGGATCACCTCATTGTTTCGTAAAAGTGGGTGGTTAGAACCCCCAAGAGTTGTCCACTGTTTTTGTTTTTTTAATCTTCCACCATTTGGACCCCGGGAATTCAGAAAGAACCTGACCCGGGACTCCTAGTTGGGTGTCACAAGCTACTGAGTAACTAGGGGATCACCTCATTTGTTTGTCTCTACGGGGAAACCTTCCCAGATACCAACCCCTTACAACCATGGTTACAACTAAGTAGCTTGAACACCCAAGATGAACCAAAGTGAACCGACTTGCGACTCTCGACTTGGTGGCTCCGAGCCATCCGGTTCCTTAGCTTTTTAGAGCCTATTAGTGTTTAGTGGTAGTGTCCATTTCACACTAACTTGACTGCTCTTGGGTTGGATCTTGAGATTTTCCACTAAACCCACAAACAGTTATGTGTTTGGCCAGAGGGGTCAACAGAAACCAAGCTAACAGTTCTTCACTTTTCGCGGGGGATCAATTCGAAAACGGGCCGCCCCGTCGACTTCTGAGGCCTCGATGCTCGGGGGCATCCTCATCACCGCCATCTCGGTGGCCGTGATCACCACCTCCTTCACGGAGCACTACCAGCACCGCTGCCAACGCGCGGAGGCGAAATTTCTGCGCCGAACGCCAAAAATTTGACGCGTTTCGCGACGCGGCGCGCTTTCAAAGAGGCGCGTCGTTTTTTTTTTGCACGGCGGAAAGGAAGGAGTGTGCATGTCTCAAAGTTGCCTGAAGAAAAAGGAGAACTCATCTATAGATTTGGGTTAATATCCAATTTTTCGGGGTAGTCGGAGGGTCCAGGTATACTTGAGGGGTAAAGGAAGGGATATTGAAGTACATCCTCGTGAGGTAAGGGGGGGATATGAGAAAGATCGGATGCTTGGTTGAGTCCTATGAATACGTGAAGCACCTCAAGACGCACGTAGCTCCTAGGGAACATAGGCACGTCTGCGGCTTGAGGTGCTTGCGCTTGTTGGTTTGTTAGTTTGGCGCTTTGACCCGAAGGACAACCTAGATGGGCTTAGCACCCGAATGCCAGCGGGCCAACAGGAATTCGTTGGCAGAGCTGCAGCAGATGGTCGGGAGGTCGAGCCACGCAAATGAAGGGGAAGGAACCACAAATCCCATCGACTTATCATCGCGATGTTCAAGCCCTACCCAAAGAAGCCCTGTGGGACTCATTGGATGGGCCTAAAGAAATTGGGAGTCGCAATGCAAGGCTTTGGTAGTATATACCAGTTGTACGGGGGATTCTGGCCACACCAATTTTCTAAACAATTTTTGCAAAATGTTCGGGAACCCAAAAACCGAGTTCGAGATTTCTCAGTTTCTTTGCCCGCAGCTGTTGCCGCTCTTTTAAAAGGGTCGATCAGATGGCTAAGTTTGCAGAAGATTGGATGGCACGTGCCCCGGAACCCGCTTAGCCACATTTCCGGCTTCGAAGCACGCTTAAGAATTAGCGCCCCGCACGCCTGTTCCGCGTATTTTTTGCCTCTGAGCTGGACAAACACTCGGGTAAACCTTAATTGGTGGTTTGGATTGGTGGTTTTGTGGTTAAGGGGTGGTTTCCATCTACTCTCTACAAAGCTGGGGTTCAAATCCCCTAACCACCAATACATACCACCAATTTAGCGGAGGCTGAAACACAAGTGAAAAAGTCTATTGAGGGGTTGGGTAGGCCTTGAACGAATGTTGCTTGCTGTCTTGTTGGCGGCGCAGTACTGTCTTAAAAGCAGTTGTTGAAACCCGAATGCTGGGAAGGAGAGAATGAATTTTCCACAAATCTGAGCAGAATCTCCAGGATCGTTCCCAACACTCATCAGGATTCTGAATCTGAGCAGAATCTCCAGAATCATTCCAGGGTCATTCCAGAATCTGCGCAGAATCTCCAGGATTCTCTGGGAACCGGCGAGCTATTTTGAGTTTGTCCGTAGTCCCGCAAGGAGGCCCAATGATTTATGGGGGGTCCCCCAAGACACTCCCATATATTGCCCAGAGTAACATGGAACCCAGAAGACGACCATTTGAGATTGTTCCCTTACCCATTTCTTCAGTTCCATGGAAACTTGTATTGGAGTATTCCCATAGTAGAACCACCTACTTTTTTTGGTTTTCCTCCATTGCTCTTCTTGGAACATTGAAAGGTGGCGATCGTTTCAAGGGAAACTTCCTGTCAGCTGATTTTGATTTCAATCCAGCTTTACCCCCTGAAATGGGTGTGTCTCAAAGTAGACATCGGGCCCTAAAACATGGGTGTTCCTTTCCCCTTAAGAACAATTCCATTCAAAGCCGAGCCATCCAAATGGCATTACTGTTGAGGGTCTCCCTTTAACCACCGTTTAGAGGTAAAATTGAGGATGTGACCTTATATTGGCCCAGTATTGTTTGATCAACTTTTGATCTGGGGAAGTGCCCTTGACCCCAATGGCCACTCCGGGCCAGCGCCTCGCGGCTCGCGCGCGCGAAAGCTCGCGGGGTTTCGAGGTGGCCAGGCTGAAGCACATGGCACAGAAAGCTCAAGCCATGGCCGAGAGATCTGCAGGCGGATGGGGAGGGGAGATCCATTGCTTTCATTTTACTTTTGTTTATTTCCGCTGTTGGCGTTAAAGAGAACCTATTAACTCAAGGTGTGGAGTTGAGTCAGAAGACACATCTCATTGTTTCCAGGCAAGCCACCTTTTGTAAGATAGCCAGGCTTCCTTACCTTCAGGTTTTACATTGTGGCTTCCCCTGGTTACCAACTATAGTGGCTTGCCTGGAAGCACTGGGTATGTTGTTCGTTGACTGGTTGACCCCGGGTCAATGAACCTGTTGGCTCGAGTGGTGGTTGATGAATCCTAGGTCAACATTAACCATCCACTAAAAATTAACAATTTTTTAATGGAGTCTTCGTGATCCGCTAAAAATGGTTGGTCACGGTGGTGCGAAATGGAGTTTGTCCAATGACGTAGGTCCTAGGGAACCCAGCAGACAAGCTCCCATAGACTTCTTTTGGGTTATGGACACTTTGTACCTAGACTCTCAATGACCCGAAATAAAAATGGGTCCATGACCAACCATGATTTTGGGTAAGGATTTCCTTTTTTAAGGGTCATGGAGACTCCAGTTAGAGACCAAGTTGCAGGGAGGCGCTTTCGTGCCTTTCCAGTTGAACTCCCGAGTCGCCAAACAGGACCTGGGACCTGGGACCAAGAAAGCGACCCATGAGGCCATGGAATCGGCAATCATTTTGATGGGCGAGTTAGTATTCTTCGGCCACATCATGGTTGGCGTTGGGAAACTTTTGCATTTTTTCTTATTGTGGTTTAGTGGTTGAAATCCACCCACCGAACTTCTAGAATTTATCCACCCACAACTATATCAAACCGAAGAAGCTACAAACACAATCATTCTGCGCTAGTCACGGCTAGGGTAGTTGGTAAAGATAATCGCCACGATCGGTTGGTTGTTTCGAGTGCAAAATCGCCCATACCTCTAAATCTCCCGTGAAAGCCCAACGTGGACGGACCATTTTTTGGGTGTGTTCTCTTTGTTTGGAACCCCAAAACGTTGGTGTTCCCTTTGGTGTTCGTTTCACCCCACCAAACAAAAGGTACACTGCCTGCAAACAAACAGAAGCACCCATTTTTGTTTGGATCTTTCCAGCTGGCCTCACGCAAAATCAGCAAAACCTCGTGCCCACCAAATGCTTTGTTGCCGTGGTGCCACGTCTTTCTCCAACTTTCTTTTGGTATGGGTTCCGATTTCTTTCAACTCACCCAACAAAGGAATCGGAGCCGATTCGATTTTTCCCATGGAAATCCACTGCGCCCGCAGCGCAGGCCTCCATGGTATGACCCCCACTTCACAGGTGAGCAGGAGCCACAGATTCACCCGAGTGACAGGTGGGTCTTGAAGGGGAACGCAAGGGCGGATTTGTTGAGGTCGGTTTCCTTGAAGGCCACCCCCAAAAAGGGCACCCGCCCAGTTTTTCTTTTCTTTCTCTGACCCCAGCAAGGGCACTATGTGTGTTTCGTTGCTTAATTCCATGTTTGGGGGCGAGATTCACCATGCAAAAAGATTGTTCAAGGCTGGAATCCTGTGAAAAAACTGGCCCTAAGGGTTGGTACATTGTGAGATTGTACAGGCCCCTTGGTTGCACCCTAGAAACGTATACTTGGACCCTTTGGGTGCATGTTCTTTTGCACCCAGACCTTTGTGGTGACCTTGCTTCACGTTTTTTACAAAGGCTATCCTTTTGCCCCCCAAATGAGTCTGATCTAAGTATATACTCGGGTTCTTACCGACTGAGGGGAATCGGCTTGCGGGAGACCCATGAGGCATTTCAGGATTTCGGATGTTTTCAGATTGTCATTTTTGGTGTGTCTACTTTTACAGGATCCTCCAACATTTGTCGGTGTCTCTAAAACCGCGGAAAGAATGGGATACCCAAAAAATGACACCCATGTGTACTGATCTTGCCGGTGCTCAGGAAATCAGGGAGTGTCCCCGAAGTGAATCTTTCTTGCTGGTGGTGTTCTTGAGGAGCCCCGGGGTCACTATCCAAAAAGAGCGAGGTTGATTCCCTACTTGGGATTTCGGCCAACTTAGTAAGTTGTTGATTTCCCCAGAGAAACCCTGGTTTAAGTCCATGGTCAACACATGGAACCCTTTTGAGTCCGGTTGAGCAAAGCTCCATGTGTTCGGGGTTTCAAAGGAACCGGTGATCGATTCGTCAGGTTAAGTTGTATCGGCAAGCGTTCGGCTACAACCCACTTGTCAACTTTCCCTTTACACGTGGGCTTAACCTTGTTAGGGGGAGCAACCACCCAAGTGGCCATGGGTCAAGATCCAAATCGTACCCCCAGTGAACATCCGATTCAAACAAACCACTAAAATAGGTTCTAAAATGGGTGGTGAATTGGCACCCAAAACGGTTTTGACCCATGGCCAAGTGGCTGACCACCAGAAAAAGGAAACGAACGCCGAAGCCTCACATCCAAGTGGCTAACTACCTAACTTTGGCAACAAACACCCAAGCAGGAGACAAGGAGAAGCAACATCCTACCCTTGTGAGGGGCAGAAAACACCCAACCGCACGTTTCCCGCAGGAGCAGGGTTGTGGGATCAAAGGCTTTCTCCCCACTTCTGTGCTACAAGTTGGAATCCCCCTTTATATGAACAAAATAGTCTTTGGGAAGCCCTTTCTGTATCAGGGACTAGGTCCCCCAGTAGTGCCCTTCTCTCCCCTTTTGTTGGTTGGGAGGGGTCCCCTACTATCCCCTACTAAAATAGACTACAGAAAAAAACATCGGGTTTCAGCTTATTCTAGCCTCTCAGATCTGGAGGACCTGGCAGAAGCGGATTCCATTCCCCACAGCCCACAGCCCGCAGGAGCAACACGCAGGACATTGTGGCGGCCTGGGAGCAGCTGGAGCAGGAGAGACTTCGGGTTCTTCGTTAAAGTCTCCAGCCATTCTTTTGGCGTTCAAGCTACATCAGGTAAGTAGGTTGGTTGTAAAGAGACTAAGTTCACTTGGTGGCTCCCAGCCATCCGGTTCCTTAGCTTTTTAGCCTTTTAGGGTTGCGTGGGGGGTTCCATTTGACCCACTAAAAGTTAAACTTTTAGAAGGGGATCTGAGGGCAGCCCAGATTATTTTGTGTTCTACATCAGGCAAGCAGGTTAGGCTTTGGTTTGGGGTTTGGGTTTGGGGTTTGGGTTTGGGGTTTGGGTTTGGGGTTTGGGTTTGGGGTTTAAGGCTAAGGGTTTAGGGTTTGGGGTTAAGGAGCGTGGCATTTTTGTGGGTGCTGGAAGCACATAAGCTGTACCGCCTTGCTTTGTATACCGGAAGATTGCAGGTGGATGTATGATGACTCTTAGATCAGCCACAGAGCTGGAAAAACGCTTATGGTGATAAGGAGACTAAGTTCAGTTGCCAACCACTTAGAACCATGGCTATAACCTACTCATCGAGTCGGTTGAACATCCCAATTTTCAGTGCTTCCAGGCGTTTCATCACTACTTAGATGGTCTGGGACGAATCGTTAAAGTGGTTAGCTTTGCCCTAGTTGTAACCTTTTTACCATGGTTGTACGTCCCCTATAGCCAGGATTATTAGCCATTTGGCTAAGTCCCAGAACATCTATGTATAGTAGGTAATCCTTTGCAATGGCTACCTCTAGCTTTTTCAGCATGGAGAACCCCTTCGTTACCTGCTAGTGGTAAATGGAAGCACTGGGTTTGCTTGATAATATGTGTCACGTTCCCTGGTTTCAAGGGAATCTATCATCGGACAGTTTTGTATTTTTGTTCCAGGGGACTTAAGCAATTGGAGGACTCGCGCCGAGGAAAACAGCTCTTGTTGTTCACTTTTGGGGTCCCGAGTTTTGGCCTCCAATTGTGGCCCACCTGTGTTTCTTCCCTTCAAAAGGAACTAGATGCCAAAGGCTATCCTAATTCGAGTCACGGCGACTAGGACACCAAAGATGTTGGTTCTCAGTAGAGAAGTTCTAGGTTTTGGGGCGTGAATCGTGGATCCCGCTCGCGTATGAAACTACCGGGGATGGATTACAATGTTTGAATCTGGAATACCAACTAAAAGGGGAGCCACCGCTGATTAGTACGTTCCTTCAGATCAATCCAGGTCAATGGCAGGGGTTATTCCTTCATTCTCTGCTGAGCCCATTCAGGTCAAAGCAAGGGACACCCAAGGGCCTAAGATTCTGTTTGTACGCCCTTTTGCGTCATACACGTAAAGAAACACCTCGCAGAGGGAGCGACCTCGAACTGTTGGATTGGCCTAGGGTGACTTCACTGTTCTTGCCATGTTTTTTTAGTGTTTTTTAGTTTTTTGGTTCTGTTCATTTTTACTGGTGCTCTGCAAAAAACCAAGAGTTTTTAGCAGGCCCATACCAAGAGTAGAGATGATATCTTCCGACGCTTGAGGAACGGCTTCAACCCCCCAGCCCCCCAGCCATGATACCACAAGTCTCAGTTCTTCAACTCGAATCGAGCTTTTGACCTGTTGGTTTTCGCTGTTTGGTCTATGTTTAGTAGGGGTCCCAAAAGGTGATCACCTTTTATTGACGGGTCCTTTGGGCAAGTGAGTGTTGGTTTTCGCTGTGTCCGGAACGCTTTTAGAGGTCCCAAAAGGTGATCACCTTCGATTTTCGGATCCTTAACCGAGAAGTATCATCTCATGCGTATGCACGCTACCTCCAATGGAAGCTGACGATGACGATCGGACGGGGGCAGGACGACTTGGCTTCGGAAGCCCCCGCTTCTTTGTCAGAGGGTATGTCGACCCTTTGGACCCTTTGCTAAAGTTGGATTGGTATTTACCCTAAGATTTCTTCAGGTTCTCCGTACAAAAAACACAAAAACAAGAACAGGCCCGGTATTCGGAGTAGGGCGTTTTTTTTTAGCACCTAAAAAGCAGGCCGGTCACGCGGAGCGCAAATGGGGATTCCTCCTCCCCAAGTCTTTGACCGAGGCGCTGGCCCGGAACGTACGGCTCTGCTTGGAATCAGTCTGACTTGGTATGTCCCGAGCATCGCACTAAAGAAACGTTGGGGGAAATCTGACTCCACGGAATTTTCGCGGTGCGCGCGTGCTTTTCAGCACTCTCTCTCCTTCTTTCTTCTCCGCACGCTGCAGGAGAGGGAGGTGATTGTCAGGCCAAAACTGGGTAATTTCTTTGTGCAACCCACTTGGGCTGCAGGACATTTCTCCAGCACGCCAACAACCAGGGTTTCAAGTGCAGAATTTCTCTATGGTTTCGACACGTTTCGACTGTTGTAGAAACCAGCTGGAAATTCTACAGGAAGCAACAAGCCAAAAACAAATGGTTTTTCAACTGCAGGATGTCCAGCTTGCTTATTAGCAACTGAGGTAATTGGGGTTGTGTCTTTTTTCAGCCGTGTTGTAGTGAAAGGGGCTGAAGAATCACTATAATGTTGTTTCCCCATCGTCATGACTGAATTTGTTGGGTCATGACTGCTTTTGTTGTTTGTTGCATTCGATTTTTTTTAGCTCCTTACATTCACGACCCAGTGTTTCAGCTGCCTCCATATCTGCATCAGCCAGTCACTGTTTAAAGAACATAATTTTCCCTTACAGGATTGTTGAAACTGTTTTTTTTGCCCCTGGTGTATAGTGTTTTTTCGCTAAGCCTGGTAAGCCATTCGCTTCCCTTTGCTTACACATATGTTTTACTTTCCCCTGTTGTTTTGTTCAGGGAATCTATCACTACGTAGGACGTGTGCTTGAATATATATATATATATATATTTATGTACCAGTCCCTGGGCCACGTACCCCCCCCCCCCCCAATGGTATGGTCCCCCCACTCCCCCGCATCATCCGCATCTTGGGGATGATGCTGGCAATGCTGGGGATGCTGTCAGCTTCGGTCCCAGACTCCCCCTTTCACCCCGTGAACCAACACCCCCGCACCTCTCGCAACATCCTACCCTAAACCAAACCACCCTGCAACCCCTCCTTAACCCCAACCCTAAGCCTAAATCAACCCAAACCCCAAACCCACCCGAAACCCACCGCAAACCAACCCTGAACCAACCCTGAACCAACCCTAAACCAACCCACCAAGCCTAAACCAACTCCGAACCACACCCCAACCACCCAACCACCCAACCACCCAACCACCCCACCACCCCACCACCCCACCACCCCACCACCCCACCACCCCCCACCACCCCCCCACCACCACCCACCACCCCACCACCCCACACCACCACCACCCCACCACCCACCCCACCCCCACAGGGAAGGGGGGGGTTGGGGGGGGGGAGGGGGGGGGGGTCCACGGCCTGGAACATATATATACACGTACATAATTAGTTATATATGAACATGTCTGTATTTGTTTATTGTTTATATTATTATATTGTTTATTTACTTATTCATTCATGTGTTTATTCATTTACTTATTTATTTATTGACTTTTCTTTATTTATTTATTTATTTATTTATTTATTTATTTCAATCACACAACAGCAACAACAGCATACAACATAGGGGACTTCAGCACATGAAAGTTCTCTTTATGCGGCTTGAGGAGGTCCAGAACCACTTGCTGCGGGTGGAGGCTGAGCTCATCGACCGGCCCCTGCGCCAGAGGACCTCGCGGGGTTTCGCGGGATTTCAAACGTGGCCAAAGCGGGCGTCATGTCTTTTTTCAGGACGCTTGGATGCTCAACTTCTATTTGGTTAGGCAGCTAGGCATATTGCTATTTTCCCCTGCCGATTTCAAAGGGAATCTATCGCTAATTACTGGACATATTTTTGTTCCACTGGACTTGAGCAAATGGAGGTCAACCAGCGTCAGGCAAGCAGGTTCCAAGCATGATTATATGTGAGGTAGCTGGGGTGATCGTCCCTTATAACCAGGGCTAGAATGCTATAACCACTCAGTAAGTTGGTCGAATCTCCCAGTGCCCTTTGTTCAGGGCGGTTCAAAGGGGAAACAAAGAGGAAACCATCATTTGTGGGGGGTGTTATTGAGACTTGGTACCCGTGCCAAGGGGAAATTCAAGAAGAACACCATTTTGAGACATATCAAAAATTGGTTTGTCTCAATCACGAGGGCCTTTCAAATAAGACGCTTTGGGTGTTTTGAGACGGAAAAAGCCACGCGAACTTTGTGGCAACTGATCGCAGAGCCTCCCACGTTGGGTTCCGTTGGGCTTTCGGAAGGGGAACCGTCAGCAGATTTCCGTGTCCTTTTTGGTAGTTTTGGTCGAAAAATGGATGGCGATGCTACAACCTTGCTAAGTCGGGCACAGTGGCACGAAGTCAAGAACCGTCCATTTATTTTGCGTTCGCTTTTCCACCGCGCTCCCTGAGTGCCTGGAATTGGCCACTTTTTGGGGGGCGGACCATTTTAGCAGAAAGTATAGGAGTTCCCGGACGTTTGATTGGCCCATGCGCTCGTTGAACGGAGTCGCCGGGCTCTGGGGAAGGCTCTGAGTGAGTTTTCGGTTGGCCCTTGTGGAAGTTCCGAGTGGCTTCTCGCCTGCCTCAAAGCGCAGCCTGGTATTGAGCATCACCTGTTTGGCCAAGGTGGTTTTCCCTAGATGCGAGGTTTTGAGGGGAACTATAGGGAACCCTCTTTCGCAAGGAACCCCCCCAGTTCGAAAACTGGTGTGTTGTTTGGAGTTCGTACCCTTGATGGGGTTGCAAAGGGAAAGGGAAACCTAACATGCTCTCAACTATGACGAAAAGTTTTGGTTTGGAAACCCCACGAACCGCAAGAGAAAAGTAAACCCTTGCAGAAGATATGAACCACTCCCCCATTTCCACCTGGAACCCCGAGACCCACCCCGTTAGGATCAGAATCTTCCGGGAAGTGGACCGATCCTTTAGGGATTCCTGCTGTTAATTTGTGGTACTTGGTGGCTCCCAGCCATCCGGTTCTGTAGCGTTTTAGATCTTTTTAGCATTTAGGTGGTGTTTTCCACTCAGCCCACTAAAACTAAAAGTTATTCACTTTTAGCGGGGGATCGGAAAACGGACAGCTCAGAGTAGTTCCAATGAAAAACCTACCAGCGCCCAACTGCGTCCCTGCAGAACCGCAAGCCGAGGGTATGAGACAGTTTTGGTTTGGAGACCCCAGTGCTTTCAGCTACCAGAAGAAAAGGCAACCAAGAGAAGCTAGCCATGGTACACCTGGAGGTAAGCTGGCTAGCCAATATTATGGTGGCCCTAACAGGGGTTGGGGAAAAGGGGGGAAGTTGAGAGCCCTCGCTCCTTAGAGTTCCTCAAAAAATATCATGAATCCTTAGGAAATCTTCCCCCCTTGGACCACTCATTTTGAGGACTCCGTGGTAACTGGAAGCACTAGGCCGCTTCGATCGAAACCTTTTGAAAAACCTCGCGACAGGACAGTGGACTTCTCCTCGAACATGGCGCTCCAATGCCTGCAGGAGCCGACCAGGGGGGATGGTTTGGGCAGTGAGGGAGGGGGGAGGATGGTTGGGGGGGGGTTGTGGGGGGGGGAGTTGGGAAATAGTTGTGTTGTTTGCTTTTGTTGGGGAGGGGGGCGGGGTGTTTGTTTGTTTTGTTTGTTTGAGTCTTGTTTGTTGTGTGTTCTTTGTTTTCCTTGTTGTGTTTATATTGTTTTTTGTCAGTGTTTTTTGTTGGGTGGGGGGTTACTTGGGGAGCGCCTGATTGGGTTACCGTGGCGCTCCAGCCATGCCGAGCCTGTTCAGCGTTTTGTACTATCTACTCCCTGAGTTCCGTTTCGGACTTTAGTCACTTTTTGGGGGATGGACCATGTGTGTGGCAAATCAACAGTTCCAACTTTGTGTTGGCACATCGACTCAGGAAGTGAGATTTATGTGCTGGCATTGATCACATATTTCACTAAAGTTTAACTTTCAGCTACCATGGTTGAAACCATAACGTTTGTTGATTTGTGCAGGGGAATCATCAGAAACTAGGGCAATTGAAATCAGGGTGTCTTAGGTGCTGCGAAATGGTTTTCGCCCATCCACAGTAATTATCACATATCACTGTACATACTTCTTTTGGTAAAGTATTTCTACCGCAAGGTCTCCATATCCATGATCGTTACAAGTGAGTTTGTGACCTTACCAAGGTCGCGAAGGTGCTTTTCATCGGGAACTCTTTCGGATTGGGAAAGCATTCTCATTCGGCCTGATATCTCTTGAAGCATCAGCCGGCCAAAAGAAGCAACGCCCAAAACACAAGTAGGTTGCCAGTGGGCTTGAAAACTCGGATGGCTTGCGGTTGGACTCCCTTTGAAACAACCCAAGGCACACTGAAAAGATACAGCCATGTATGTGTTCTTGTGTTCGTGAGGGTGCCCTTTCTTGGCATTGGCTGAAGGGAAACCAAAGGGAACTAGCAAAACAAGTTCTTGCATGTTGAGCCACCTTAGCAAGTAGACTACAGCCATGGTTGTAGCTGGTGCAAGTGGGGCGAGTCTCCTTATGACTATGGTCATAGCCTACTTACTAAGTAGCTTGAATACCCAAGTTGATTGAGCACCCATTCCCCCCCTCTCATCTGCCGTTTCGCCGTCTCGCCGTAGGCTCAAAAGCTTTGAGCCAAAGAACGCGCCGGCTTGCAGAAGTTGAGCTATGCTCCATGTGCGCGTGTAAATACCGGTGGTCCTTTTCCCCCAATCGTTGCAACCATCCTTCTTGCAAAAATATATAATGGGAAATGGAGAAGCTCCCCTGGACCTTTGGGTCTTTCCCTTCAAGCCGCCCAAAACAAAGGGAAGCCTCAACACAAGCCGCTGGGCAATCTTGGCAAGGGTTGGCAACTCAAGTCCCCACCCCCAAACCAAAAGAAACAAACACTTGCTGATGCTCAGCAGGGAATGAGGAAATGACCCCTGATGATCAGCAATCCTTTGGTGGTTTCCTTCAAGGATACCCCGGCTCACTCCCAAACCTTGTGTTGATTCCCGAGAACCAGCAAGACAAAAAACACCACACGCACTCATTTTCGCGTCTGGCTCATCCGCGCACATGGCAGATAGCCATGATGCCGCCAATGCCCCCCGGGCCACCGTGGGCGCTGCCACCGCCACTTGAATCTCACGAAAGCCCAGAGCGACTCAACTAGGTCCCCCAGTAGTGCCCTTTTACCCCTTTTTTGGTGGAGGGCTCCCTTATCCTAACCTCTCTACTGGAGGACATACTTAAGTTTTGCACCTTTTCCTTTGCTCTTTCTGGGGGGTTCCCACTTGATTCTTAGTCGTGGCCCCAGTTTTGGCGGGGTTCCCATTTTGAGTGGTCCCAAAACGGTGGTCGCCAGGTTTCGTTTGTAGGGGCCTCCAAAGTTGGTGTGTCCCTATTTTTCCGTTTATTCGGGGCCCCTTTTCTGGGCAACCGAGCTTGAATGCTATTGGCTGGGATTCCGGGATCTTTAACCTTCAACTTTTGGGAAACAACTTGGGTGTTCAACGTCGGGTAACTAGGTGATATCCATGGTTGCAAGGGTACGATCACCCCATTTGCCAACCCAACAGGTGCACAAAGTTCAAGCGTACCGGGCCAGCATGGAGGCTGCAGGGGTTTCTTTGTGCCAACGAGGCCGCCAGGGCCACTGCCGCCAGGGCCATTGCCGCCAGGGGCGCCAGGGCCATTGCCGCCAGGGCCATTGCTGCCAGGGCCGCCAGGGCCATTGCCGCCAGGGCCGCCAGGGCCGCTAGGGCCGCCAGGGCCGCCAGGCTGGGGAAGGGTGTAGCCTATAGAACCATGAAGTCGGAGGAACTGCTCTCTTTATTTGCCACTAAAATGGCAACCAGCCAACCAAGCATTTTGACTAAAGTCCATAAACTCAAATGTGAGGCAAGGCCTTTTGGAAGAAATTTGGACCACACGTCAACATCTCACCCCTACCAAGGGAAAGTGACCTATGGGCCAATCCTGGGTTCTCATGGTCCAAACTTCTAGTACTTGGGCTTTCGTCGCCAGGTTGGTTGTTGGTAACAGTGCGGTTGCAACCCACTATTGAGTCCCCCGTGAATGTGGGGTTAGCCTTGTTGGGGGGTTAGCTAACCACTTACTAAGCTGGAGAAAGAAACATCCTGGTAGAGAGTTCATGACTTCATTACCAATCCTACCAGGCCAAGTAAAAGGGGGGGTTGTGGAAGGGCTTCGGAATCAGATGGCTTTGGAGCCATTTGCTCAAAACCGCTGGAAGGTTAGGGGCAGTCCCAGCCAGAGGTGCGAGCCAGTAGGTCCCAACAAAAGCTTCCCCCCGCCTGTAGAACTGTCGAATGCATTAACCTTTCTTGAAGAGTTGGAATCTGAGGTCATCGTTGAAATCTACATTGTACGTAGTCTTGAACTCAAAACCCCAAAACCCCAAGTCATCTAGATTTATTTTGATGAATGATAACATTCTTTAATCTGTAGAGTCACTTCAGAGCGATTTTAGGAAGAGTTTGCTCCCGTCTAGAGTACCTGGGTTTGATTGTGCTCACTTGTTGGTAGGCGACCAGGTTTGACCCTCTGCTCAAGCGCTGGCTTGCCCAGGTTACCGCCTAGAACTAATGGCAAGCTGAGGCGCTGGGCGCTAGACCATTGTAGTGGCAAACAGAAAGTTTAGACTTTTTTTAGGCCCATCCGCTCGATCGGAAGTGAGATGTAAGTGGGGAACTGGGGTTGGCCCCCTCGGATGTTCAACCAACATGGGGAAAAATCGATTTTGAATCTTGTTTGGCCCAAGCCCTCTTGTTTTCCCTTTGTTGGCTGCTTTCTTTGTAGTAGTTCCAAAAGGTGAGCAGTGGTCCCTAAAGGGCAACTGTGTTCATGAATCTGCGCTTGCGGTCACACTACATGTGATGAACCTTTCCCGGTGCACTTTGTGGACGGGCTATTGATTGCTCAAAACTATGCGTGCGCTTCCTGCAAACCAGCAAAACAACACCTGGGGGTTGGTCCTTTACGTGGGGTGACCATTCTGGAAACCACCAAAACGGATGACTTTCAAGACTAAATGGGAAAAGTTACCCAAGGGATATTGATCAACCTCCATATCTCAGTGGTTTGGGGGCTCATATTCTGGGGATATGTGGGATATCCACTCGCACCACGAAAGGAGTTGCCAGGACACCAGAAGGTTTGCTCCAGTGCAAAGGAATCACAGGGTTTCTGAACGGTTCGAGCGGAGTACTGTAGAAGACCATCAGGCTACAGGATTCCCGTCAAGGGAAAACCTTGGAGTTTTGATCCAAGTCTGGAGCTTCCACCAGCGCACTGGGTGACTTGGCATTCAGCCTTTGACATTTCGGCCTATTTGTGAGGTACATTTTTTTGAGGAGTTGGTGACAAGGAAGCCGAAAGCAACGCCACTTGTTCTTTTTTGGGGTCTTTTTTTGTTGGCACAAACCAGTTCCCCAGTGCTTCCGGATTTACGACTATCATCGGAAACCAGGGTGTCTTAGCTCTAGGTGTTTACATGATGGGTTGTTGCTGGTTGCCTACTGTAGTGGTAGCTTTAGGCACTGGGGTCCTCTGATTTTGGACACAAAACCCAGTCCCGCACCACCTGTTCTGCCATCTCTGCCACATCTGACACGACCATGCTTTCAAAACTCTGGAAATGTGCTGGTAGAACAAAAGGGGTGCTCGTCGAAGTCCATTCATGCCTTCCGCAACCATGTGCAGGGCTCCTTAAAAGATACATTTTGCCCATTTGAAACATGGCTTGTTCCACCAAAATAAAGGGACACCACCATTTACAAGGCAATGTTCAGGTGTATAATGTAAGGATCCCAGATGTGTAAACCTTCTTTTCGCGCCAGGTCCGCCGCAGCCTTTGCCTCCAGACATCGCACAATTGCCGGAGCCGGCATTGCCTGGGGCGGTGCGACTGGGCTGAGCAGTACCCTTTTGAGTTTACGGCCAGGCACCCGTGGTCTCTCTTGACTTTGCGCTCTTTTGTTGAGTTCTTACAGACAGCCCCCTTTTAACCCTTTGTTCACTCCCCACTGAGTTCTGCAAAACCCAATTGCTTAGACTCTTGAATTGTCAATGGTCATTTTCTTAGTGTGAAAAGCCAACATAAGAGTTTGCTTTCGCAAGACTCCACGTTTTATCCCCGACTCCTTTGCCCAAATCAAATAGACCGTTGGCTTTCGCTTTTGGTGTTTGTTTTAAATGTCAAACTTGCAGCTGCTGTTTGTTCTCTTTGCTTACTGGTGTCAGGCAACACTTGTATTCAATGCATGTGTTTGCGTTTCTACAGGAGAACAAACCACATTTGTTCAGTGACAAACACGCAAGTTTCAACAGACCCCCGCCACCCGCGTCCGCCAGAACCTGGAGTCTCCATGACCCTTAATGGTTGGTCATTACCCAAAATCAAGGTTGGTCATGGACCCTTTTTTATTTCGGCTCAGAAGGAGACTCCGGGTAATGTTTTGTTTTTCTAAAATGAGGGCCCCATATCCATCACCTGGAGTCTTTCTCTGACCCTTAAAACGTGGTTCGCTACCAAACGAAAGGGGTTCTAGCAACACATAGAAGGTCAGAAGACTTCAATCGCCGAGTCAAGTTCAAAAAACGTGCAAAAAAAAGACCCCCGCCACCCGCGCCGGCAGAATGTGTCGCAAGGCAAGAGTGGGCGCTGGAGGAGTTGGAGAAAGTCATCGCTGCCACTCACCGCAAAGTTCTGCTTCGCCCGGAGGGCGGCCTCTGTCGCTCAGCAGAGACTCAGCAGCTTTTGACACGTTTGGCGGTGTCCTTTTTGTTGGGGGACCGCTCTTTTTTGGTGGTTTCAAAGGAAAGTCGCAATGTTGGAGGATCCTCTAAAAGCAAGACACGCCCATATTTCTCAAACTAGGGTCCCCTTGATCTGCCTATTGCATAGCGAGCTCACCGGACGAGCGACAGAGATGAACAATTACTTGGGGAGTCTTTGGAATTCAGCTTTTGGAATGCAGCCTTGATTGATGGTATTGATGGCAAACCGAAAGGACACCAACCGCATGGAGGGGGTCCTAATTGTGAGAAACGCCCGTATAAGCAGCACCTAAAACCCCAAAATGGCCATCCTGGATGGTTCTTGGGGCTTCATGGGAAGCGCCTTTTGGCCTTACCTGGCTTCTTGAGGGTTGTGGCCAGGGCTATTTGAACCTGTTGTTCCATGTCAGGTGTTCGTGGGTGGTTCTACTACCCGGCTTCATGCGGGTTATGTTCAGGGCTATAGGAACCTATTATTCGCATATTCGTAGAACCAAGAGCCAATGGGTTTTGGGCCGAAGTTCACGTGAAGGGGGCGTGTTGTTTTGCCATGTTCCGTCTTTCTCCGCGTTTGGCAAGAGGGACTCGTGTATGGTGAAAGTCGATGACAAAGGTTACCCTGGAGTCTCCATGACCCTTACAACACGGGGTCATTACTCAAAATAATGGGGTCACTGTCACTGACCCAATTTTAAAGGGGCATGGAGACTCCAGGTATACTTCCCCAACTAAAGGACTTATCAATGGCATCTACTTTGCCCCTGGCGAATCTACCAGGGGAAGAAGGGCCCGCTCTGGCGTTTAACTGTTTCAGTGACCAGGACAAAGCCACGCACCCTTCTCCAGGCCACGGGCTTTTTGAAAGGCAGAAAGCGGGGCGTAGCACACAAAGGTCCTCTGGTTTGGGCCCAAGACCCGAGTTGCTGAAAAGCAACCCTTACCTCTTAAAAACACAAAACTTTTCTCAACTTTTTGGGTAACATGGGCTATATGTCTAAAAAAGATGAGAACTTCCCCAATCCTCGGAGTTTTAAGGGGTAAGAACCTGAAGCAAAAGCTTTGCCCAAAGCCAAGCTTTGCCGCCGTTTCGCTTTCCCTTGGCCCTTTTTGCGCGGACCAAAGGTGAGCACCTTGTATTTCTGGGGGCCTGCGGGGCAACTGCAGTGGAAAGCCATTGTGCTCGGCTGAGTCTCCTGGCCCTTAACAATGGTTGGTCACCCAACATATTTCAGGGTCAAGGACCGATTTCTTGAAGGGTCAGAAGGAGACTCCAGGGAGGGATTTGTGTCATTTGTGATTCGGGTCATGGTGAGACTCGTGGCAATTACTTACGTTGCATTTTGCTTGGGTGTTAGGACTTTAACTTTTTGCCAACTAATGGGTTTTGCAATTAAACCACTAAAAGTTATTCACTTTTAGCAGGGGAGCAGAAAGCAACCGAGTTCAAATCTGTAACCTGGAAATCCTACCAACAAAACACGATGCGGATTTTTTTCCCATCCACAGTAGGTGTTGACGGTGACTCACCTTACCTGGACAACAGTTGAAAGTTGGGAAGCCATGTAGGCCGAGAGTGGCTGGACCTGCGGTCGAATCGCTGCGAGCAGCGGCTGCAAGACTTGCTCCAACTGCTCCGCAGCTTTTCGCACGAGACCTTTGCCACGTTAAACGAAGCGCCCATGGAGCCTTGGGCGTGCTGCACCAGAGGGTAGCTCTGTGTGTGTGTTTGTTGGTGTGTTTCTATATTTTTTTCTTCAGGTCTTTCTTTATTAACTTATTTATGTGTAGTTATCTTTATTTCTCTGCGCATGTATTGATTCCTTTCTTTTTTGCTTAGTTTATGTATTATTGCGTTCTTCATTTCTTTTTTTTATTCATTCATCCATTTATATGACATGTGTTTATTTATTTGTGTTTGTGTTTGCTTATTTATTTATTTATTTATCTCTTCTTTCTTTATGTCTTTCTTTGTGTGTTTGCGTGTTTCCGTGTTTGCGTTTGTGTGTGTGTTTGCGTGGTTGTTGGTTGTGTATTTGTGTGTTTGTTGCTTGTGTGTGTGTATGTGTTTGTGTGTTTGTGTGTGGGTTTGTGGGTTTGCTTGCTTGCTTGCTTGCTTGCTTGCTTGCTTGCTTGCTTGCTTGCTTGCTTGCTTGCTTGCTTGCTTGCCTGCCTGCCTGCTTGCTTGCTTGCTTGCTGTGTTTGTTTGCCGTGTTTGTTTGCTGTGTTTGTTTGTTTGTTTGCTGGTTTCTGGCTTTTGATTGCGTGCGTGCTTGAATTTGTGTGTTTGTTTTGTTTGTGCCTCAGGAGCATATTCTCGAGCTCTTCCAGTGCATTGACTCCGACCTCCGGGAGTACCAGTTTCGAATTCGGGAGCTGGTCCAGGTCTACGGCATGCCCTTGATGCCCCGCCGCACTTGGACCCGACGGAATGACCCTGTTGCTTGGTCTGTTCACTAGGTCCCCCAGCAATTGGTGCCCTTTTACCGCTTCTATTTGGGGGAGGGAACCCTTGCTTACTAAAATAGACTACAGAAAAAAAAGAGGGTACCCTTAGTAGCCTGATTCTAACCTCTCTACTAGAGGACCTAGTTACGGGTACCAGGGATGCCGTTTGCGGGTTGTTTTGAAAAGGGAGCCACATGATCATCCATCTTGGGTTTCCAATAAATTTTGGCAACAATTAAAAAACATGTGCAACAATAAAAACAATTTTGGGTTTCCATCTTTGTGCAACAAAAATACAATAATGGCCGTGTGGGGGGGGGCTTCCAAGCACCTCTGCCAGCTGTTTCGAAACGGTTTGGTTCCTCAGGGTTGGGCAAAGTTTGTTTCGTGCCCTGCTCCCCTTTCAAAGGGAAACCAAAAAAGAGTTGGTTGAAGTACCCAACATTGTTTTAGATAGGTTTAACCGACCGGTTGGCCCTGGTTAGTTGCATGTTGTTGGGAGTCAGTTTGAGAAGCACCCGATGTAGTTGGCTTTCTGCCAACTGCTCGCGGTATGGTTTCCTTTCAAAAAGGCAGCCCTTCTTGGGTGTTTCTCAACGGGGACCCTCCAGGTGATTGGTTTGCTTTTGGTTTTCCTTTGTATTGCCATCCAAAAAGGGTCCCCCCTTTTTTGATAGACCACCTGGCACAAGGGCAGTGAATGAGAATTTGCAACCAGACGTTTTTGAAGCTGTCGTTTTGAAGCTGTCTGGGGTGGTGATTGGTCCAACGGCAACCCTACAAGTCCCCCCAGAACGCCGGAAGGGCTTGCGGGGTTTCTTCCTGAAATCCTTGGGCCGAATACTTCAGGCGGGGTACAATTGCTGTGACATGATGTCAATGATTTCCATGGGTTCCATGACTGCGAATCGAAGAGGGAGGCAACTCGAAAGTGGTTGGTGGACATGAACCCCCACAAAGTCCTGATGTCCACCATCCCTAACTATGGGACGCCCCTTCATCGGTGGTGCTTGGCGGTTTGGGGAGATCCCCACGTTGTGATGCGTTCAACCCCATTCAAATAATGGCAGACCCAATTTGGATGCTGAAACTCCTTGGGTACATAATGGTGGGTATCTTAACCTCCTCTGTTTTAATGGCAACTGAACCTCAAATCGGGGCCAAAGAAGTGAAGTGCTCACGGATCGATCCGCGATGCAGAAATCAGGGGGGTCTTTTTGCCACCTTTGGTGAGAAAATGGGCGACCCCTCAAAAAGGAATCCTATACTACAAGGGGGTCCATCATTTTTCCACCACAGGTGGCAAAAAGACCCGCCTGTCGCAACTTCGAAGCGAAGCCGTTCGGCCGTTTCCCGGAGGGTTTGTTTGGTACCTCCTGAGGATGGCGTTTTGGGGGGTACAAAGGGGTTGTTCAGTACCTCCTTAGAAGGTACTTGGAATCTTTGGGTTATCTTAGCCTCCTTTGTTGCTTCTGCTGGTAGCCGAAACCCACGAGGAGCCAAAGAATTGAAAAAACACCTCGCGGTTGCAATGCGGAAACCGTTCGAGGACTTGCCATCATCCCATCACCAACCACCGGCCTTTGGATTTCGCCATTCTTCAGGCAATGGCATGGGAGAGAGAGAGAGAGAGAGAGAGAGAGAGAGTCGACGGCAGCTTGTTTTCAACCATGGGGGTGAACTCCCTTTAAGTTCGCAGCTCTGGATGTGTGTGTTTTTCCCCATGCTTAGGTGTTGGTTGCCAAGTTGGTAAGTTGTTGGTAGCCTAGGGTATAGCCCACTTGAAAGTCCTCCCAAATAAGCTGAACCTTGTTGGTACCCTTTCCGCTGGTTTAAAGGAAAACGGTTGTATAGAGGATTCGCTGGAAATTCTTGGATCCCCCTATTCGGCACACGTCATTTGTAAACTTAAACCCTGCAGCTGTGCTTCCCAAAATAGAGTCCCTTGGTGTAAGGCGACGTTCGTAAAGCATGGAATTCTGGTACCCAAACAAAAAAGGGGAACCAAACTCAAACAATGGGGGCTGGAACATTGCCGGACTCAACTCGCTAGGTCTGAGCCCACCTTGTCCCCTTTTTTATTTGGGGGGTTCTTGCGGTAACCTTCGACGTTTACAAGTTGCGCGCTTAAACCTGGCGTCTTCTTCTACCCCTTGAAGAATGGTTGCCATACCCAACATATTTCGGGTCAGGAGGAGACTCCAGGGAGGGATTTGTGACATATCCCAGGAACAGTGGAAACTTTGGGATCCCGGCGTGTTGCAACACATATTGCCCAAGATGAAGGTGTCTCTCATAGGGATCTCTTGTTTTCCCACAGCGCATACAAATACATTGCCCAGCCCAGTGCTTCCAGTTTTACCGCTACAGGTGGTAACCAGGCATGGCTACCTCCAGGTTTTACATCATGGGGAAACCCCTGGTTGCCTTCTATAGTACTGGGGTCATTATGTTGACAGTTTGTGGGGGTTACCAAAGTCAGAAGATGGGGTTGTTCCCCTTTAATCCACCACTTAGGGGGTACTTTGATCATGGTAAAATGATGAGGCCAGCAGTGCCTGGAAGCACTGGGCAGATCAAGAAGCAAGGAACCACAAGGTGAGTTCGCCCCACCAGGGCCGCGCTAGCAGCGTCCGCACGCTGCTTGCGCTGCACGCAACGCTGCAAGCGGCAGACAACGGCCCTGCGCTCTTTGTAGCTGCGGTGCAGTGGGGGATGGAGGAGGCGCCTGGTTGGCTGCCTTGTTGCTCAGTTCGTCCGTCGGTCCGTCCGTCGGTCCGTCGGTCAGTTCGTTGGTTGGTTGGTTGGTTGGTTTGCTGGCTTGCTAGGTGGCTGGCCGGCTGGGACCACCTGTTACTTCCAGGTCCAAACAGAGGCACCAAATTTGTTTTGATCGGTCGGTCGGTCGGTTGGCCGGTTGGTTGCTTGGCCGGCTTGCTGGGTGGCCAGTTGGCTGGTTGGGTGGCTGGCTGCGTCGCTGAGTTGCTCAACCGACCTTTTAACCTTTCGTGTCCCATTGATATCCTATTGGCTTCTTTTAGTTTTGGTGTTGCTCTTCGGTGTTTCCTGTGGGCTTCCCGTTCTGCAGGGTGGTTTCGCGTGGTTGTCTTTTCAAGAACCCGTTGGTTTGGCTTTTGTTGGCTTCTTTTGGCTAGGGTGCGGTTTATAACCATGATTGTGAGTTGCCCAGTGCTTCCAGTTACCCCTGTAGTGGGCAACCAGGGGAAACCATGATGTAACACCTGGCGGTAGCCATACCTGGTTACTTACTATAGTGGGAACTGGAAGCACTGGGCTAGACAATACGAGTTGGTCCTACATCATGAGGATGATAACTTAGACCTACTATGCGCAAGTGAGCAGAAGAGAATAGACCGCATAGTTCCTATACATTTTGGGGTTTTCCTAAAAGTAGCGGAGCCCAAACAAAGTGAACGTTCTTCTTTGGGTTCCCCTTTCACCACCCAGGGGTTCCTTTGTTTAAGACTTCCTTTTGGAGAGTCGCGGTGTGGTCAAAGTATGCGTTGAGCAGGGTACCCCCGCCACTGTTGGACATTTAGCGACCAACCGAAAGGCGTCCTTTCTCTCTCCCCTCAACCGCTCAAGGGATGCTTGTCGGACCGATGATAATCACATTTTTGAACAGGTGCTGGTCTTTTGGTTTGGGCTTGGCAGGGTGATTCTGAAGACCTTAAGCAGAGTTTAATGCAGAGAGTGTAGCTGGTTTTTTGTTTTGACGCTCGACAATCTTTGACATTGGAAGTAGTCTTGGTGCTGGCTTCAGAAGTTCAGAGGGACAACCTCCCCCAAAAGACTTATACGTCCTGGTGCAGACAACACATGGCCCTGCATGAAAGTAGGGAATCGCCTCAAGAGTGGTTGGTGGACATGATTTCTAAGGCGGTATATACCCCTTATAGTTGTATATATGAGCTCCCATACCTCCAAAACCCGTCTCCCGGAACATGTCCTTGATTCAGGACGCTTCCCTTTTGCTTATCCTTTTCAGGACTAAACGGGAATCATGCGTGCAGGTCCCGGGACACGTACCGGAGCCTAGATGCAGGTCCTATTTCCGCACCGAATGACCTCGACATGATCTCCGATTGACACTAAAATGGGTGCCTTTTTTGTGGGGAACCCCCCCATAGTGGCTTTCCTTGTGGAATTCCTTTAAACCAACCCCCCCCCCAAAAAAAAGGTATCGTCGGTTGTGCTGCTATCGACCAGAAGGCTTGGATCAGACGAATACAGGACTACAGAAACAAGAGTTGTGGATTCCACGTGGGACAACTCCTCACGTGCAGCTCATGCGAATCGACCGGATCTTTGGGGTTAAAACCCTGATTGGGGGATTCCCATTTTCAGTGGCTACAAAAGGTGATCACTTTACTACTGTTGGCATGTGTTTTAAAGGTTTCTACTTTAGCTCACCGTTTTGTTTCTGGGTCCCTCAAGGCCAGCCGAGAATCTGCGCAACAACCCGGCGTCGCGCAGGTGCAAGAGCAGCTGCTGCGTTGGGCAAAGAGCCACTTGGATTCGCGTGCATGGCGTGCATCAGCCAGGGGATTGATGGGAGACGTTTGCAAACCGAGTTGATGACTTGTTTGTCTCACTCCCTCAGTTCATGGACTTTAGTCACTTTTAGGGGCTGGACCATTTTAGTGGCAAATGACAAGTTCAGACTGCTTTTGGCGAGCCCACTCAGGAAGTGATGTGCTCGTTGCCAAGTTTGTTGTTTTTTGTAACCTAGGTTATAACCCACCTTTTAGTCCCCCGTGAATGTGGGATCCACCTTGTCCTTCACGGGATTTTTCTCACCCAACTGAAGATCACCACCTTGCCAAAACATGGGCGTATGCTTTATTCAGGATAACCCTTGTCACTTTGATTTAAAGGGACTGAGCACAATTCTTGAGGTCCCACCCCAGTCACGAAAATGGCATCAGTTTTCCTTTTGGTTTCTCCTTGCAAGAACATGAGTACCCTCAAAAAGCGGCAGGCCCGTATTTGTACGGTTTTGGGTTTGGTGATGAGGAGGATTCGTCAACAGATTCCTCAAACCCACAAATATAAAGTGCCGAGGACCCCCTTTTGAAGCCAAAGTGTATCTTTTGAGTTGGTTTAGTGGCAGTTTTCCACTAAACCACTACAGGTCGAAGGGAAGCAGCACTCAGAAAAACAACTGAGGCCAAGATGCGCGGAACGAGCTCTTTGGTGCGGCGCAAAAAGGGGATGCCTTGCGCTGCAGTCAGCTGGTGCAGATGCGGCCTGGCGATTCCAATTGGTTGCCTGGGTGCGGTGATGGCCATGAAAGCGTGGGGGGTGGGGGCAAGGGGGCGTGGTAGGGGGGGGGGGAGTTTTTTTGTGTGTGTTTGTTTCTTCGGCCCAAAGGCTCGGTAACGGGAATACACGCCTGAAAAGGCATGGTTTAAACGGGGAAGCATCAAGGTGAAACTAGACATGTTTGGGGTGGGAACCATTTTTCCTCCAAGGTGCGTCTTTCACTTTTCCCCGACTGGAAGCTTTGGTGCTCAAAATGGTTCTGGAGTTGTTCTTGCGGGTTTGCACTAGGGTTCCTGAAGGGGTCCCGACAGTTGGTGAGGGGAAACCAGCACGGGGGGCTCCCAAGTCAGCGGTTTTCCTTTTGTTTTTCCCCAACAGCTGGAAGCTATCTCTGCCCAGATAGTCTGTTCCAGAGGGTTCCAGGAGGTTCCAGGAGAGGTTCCAGTAGAGGTTCCAGGAGAGGTTCCAGGAGAGGTTCCAGGAGAGGTTCCAGGGCTGTTGGGGATAGCAGCTGGGCGTATGTCTTTGACGCACCAAAAGTCAGGTAACCCTCGGCTGGTGGTTTGGATTTGGTGGCTTGGATTTGGATTTGAACCCCTGGTTTAAAGCGAAACCCCTGCGTTTCACCACCAAACCACCGATTCGGCTCTAAACCACCAAATAGAGGGAAGCTGAAAAAGGCTACCCTTACAAAAGAACAACCCCAATTCCAGCAGATGTCAAGAGGATTCTTCTATGGTTGAGGATACCGCCTCTTGTTTAGCGCCAAAAGCGGTGTTATGCTCCCTCCAAAAGCTCCACAGGCCGAAGGTCTTGTTTTGGGGGACAGGGGGAGGCATTTTTTGGGGGTCCGTGCAACTGGGTGTTGAACCCCTGAACGGGGTGGGTTAGGAGTATCCCAAATAGAGTCCCGTGTTGGGTTGGTCCCCTATGAGACCAGCCCGAGGTGGCAGTTGTGGATTCCAAACGGAATCCCGTGTTGGGCTCAGCCTAAGGCCGAAAGGAAAATGGCCGCAAGTTAAGAGCTGGCGGAAACGGGGGATGGATCCTTGAAAAGAAGCGAATGTGCATCCTGCATGTTTCATAGGTGCAGGCGGCTTTGGGTTGACATGCAAAGCAATCGAGAATAACAAAGCCCTTCAATCCTAAAATTGCTTGATTCCCTATAGGCTCCCTGGAAACTGAAAGAGGGTGCCGTCCAAGGACGGACACGGGTGTGCGACTCGCTTGGAAAGCGCGTTGTTGTAGTTTGGACCCTCAAGCTCTTATGAAAAGGGGAGTTTTCTCCACAAACATTGGAAACTTAACAGGAAACCAAAGGAAACAGGAAACCAAAGGAAACCAAAGGAGTTAACATATGGCTGCCCTTAGCAGGAAACCAAAGGAAACGCCACGAGTTGTGCGGCTTCCCCCTCGTGAAAGACAAGCCCTGGCCCTTAGATGGCCTGGGACTTGGCTTCCATGGTTGTAAGTCCCCGGAGAAAAACAAACAAAAGGATTATGAACCATTTAGCAATTCGTCCCGGACCATCTAAGTAGAGGACGCCACACCGAAGGGTTGCGAGAGTGGTAATCGAGTTAGCACTATAGTATGTGACCAGGGGTTTCGCATGCAACTTCGAAATCCCAAGTATGTAGAGTTTCTATGACCCCTGGGAAAAAGGGTCCTATCCCCTCAAGTTTGGGGTATGACCCCATGTTTCCCATGTAAAACCTGGTCGTCAACGAATGGACTCCCGTCCCTTTGAAACAAACCAAACGCACCGAGGAAGGTGGATCCCAGTTGCAGAGACGAGCCCACCGGCTTGAGCGTGCTGGAATGGGCCCCTCGCTCGAATGGGCCGAATGGGCCGAATGGCGCTTCGCGGGTTTTGGTCCAACTACCCACCAGCGCTCGGAAGGACAAGTCTGATGGAAGTATGTACCATGGGAACAAAAAAAGCAGGTATGTTCGTTCAAAAACCGAATTTTATATGTTTGGCATGTTCTATGTATACCATGAGAAAAAAAAATTCTTTTAAAGAACAGTATTTGTTTTTTTGGTATGTCCAATGTACTATGTATCATGGAAGTATTTTGGGCAGTTCCTTTGGACTGTTAGGCATTTGGAGGTTGGAGCTGGTGACATGAGTCGCTTGACCACTGGCGGACATTGCCCAAACAACTGGCCTATTTGACTTGGAAGGGAACCAAAACGGAGGCCGTGTGTAACTCAATCCCCTGGATGGCACCCAGACAAAGACGTCATGTAGCGTATGGGTTGTTAAAACGAGAGTGGCCGACTCCAGGTCCGCGCGTCCAACACCCGACATAAGAGATCCCCAAGTAAAGAACCTTAACCATGGGCGAGGCTCGTTGTAAGTTCCGGGAAATCTCGCCATAGAACTGGCAATTCATTTGCAGCGGAGCAACCCAAAAACCGCATTTTTGAGCTCTAGGCGCATGTCTAACCTGCCAAAAAGCTGGACAACAATTGCTCTGCACTAGGTGGGATGGGTGGCTTGTCAACCAGTATTCATACAGGGTTTCGTCCATCCCAACTGCCTGGCATGGATTGTATCCATCTAACTCACGGGTTAGATGATCTAACCCGTAAAAATGGTGGGTCATTACCAAAAATAAATGGGTCGTCGATCCATTTACTTTGGGGAATGATTAACTATTCTTGAAGGGTCATGGAGACTCCAGGTACTGGAAGCATACCGGGCTCCTTTAGTGCCACGTTTCTCACGTGTGACTCGCCAGGGTGCAGAACATCAAAAGCGCCGGCCCCGCAAATGTTTGGTTCCATGTTGGTTTCTCACCCTTTAAAAACCAACTAAAAGGGAGGTCCACCATTTTGTGAAACCGCTATGTATGGATTTCGAGTTGGAGTAAGGGGAGCATTGCAGTCGTTAGAAGACGTTTAAACGTGTTCACGGCAGTGACCAGGTGTCCTTTTTTCGGCTAGCTTGGTGAGAAATAGATGAGTTGCACTGGTGTAGATTGGTTTTATGACCCATTTGCCAGGGGAAACTATTCTTGCCAAAAGATACCTATGTTAGTGACGTCCCATTCCTGGCTGTTTGTTGCTAGGGTGTTCGCTGCCAACGTCAGGTAAGTAGCTTAGAACAACGGCTATAAGGAGACTAACCCTACTTACCCCACTTACAACCATGCCTATAACTCTAGAAAACGGTTCGGATGCGCTTTTTGTGGATATCACCTGGTCTTCCCCCTGTTTGTGCAATCGTTTATATAGTACTCTTTTAATATTCTACAGGGGTGGATCCACAAAAGTCACATCCACACCGTTGTCTAGAATAGCCTACTTACTAAGGTGGTTGAACATCCAAATTGCAACGAATTTGAAGAGTTGGAATTACCTCCAAATGGTTGGTGCAAAATAATCCCTGTAAGCACCGACATATCCGTTTTGTTTTAGGGCATGATTTCGACCAGTACGAAAAAAGAAGGTATTCACCACCTCGGAAAGCCAGGTGTTCCAAGAGACACCTTCAAAGAGCGCAAGGGGAATCCCCACCTTGAAAAAATATCCACCTAGACTCTCCATGACCCAAAATAAAAATGGGTCCATGACCCCATGGGCCGGATAATGTCGAACCTTAGGCCATGTTTTTTTTTTTTGCAGTTTTTTTCCTTCGGATTCTTCTACCCATGGGCCGGAGATGTGTCGAACCTCACTCCGGCGTTTTGATATTTTTTGGGGGGCCGGCCGAGGCCTTGCAGGGTTGTGGGATCAAGGGGTTTCTCCCCACTTCTGTGATACAAGGGAATTCCCCTTTATATGAAAATAGTCTTTGGGAAGCCCTTTCTGTTGTATCACAGAAGTGGGTTCCATTCTCCACAGCCCTGAGGCCTTGCCATTTGCGGCTCTGGAGGTGCTGCTGCCCTGGGCGGACGGCAGCGCCAAGAGCTCCGCGCTCTTCAGCGCCGCGAGAGCCGGGCTCACGGCGCCTCGGTCGCCTGGGTCGCCGGAAGGGTCGCCTCTCGCCGGAGGTTGGCTTGGGGTTGGCTTAGGGTGGGTTTATTGGTTTAGGGTTGGTTTAGGGTTGGCTTGGGGTTGGCTTAGGGTTGGTTTAGGGTTGGTTTAGGGTTGGCTTGGGGTTGGCTTAGGGTTGGTTTAGGGTTGGTTTAGGGTTGGCTTGGGGTTGGCTTGGGGCCGCGTAGGGTGTTGATGTTCAAAGCAAAGCAGAAAGAAGGGATGGCTCTGTCTTTGATTTGTGCGGACCCATTTTACACTGCGGAAGGGCTGCTTTTTGTTGGGCCCAATCTCTTCCATTGGCTGAAATTCATATTTTGTTTGTTTCCCCCTTGTTGGTTTGAAAAGGAATTCATTTCACTACTGGAAATATTTGTGTTGTTTTTTTTCCAGGGGGCGAAAAAACAAATGGCAGGTAGAGGGACACCTCACTCCCGGAGATCCTGGACTGTCAACCAACTTTTTGGGAAGAGCATTTTGGTCACCAACAAGTTTGGGGACTTTTTGTTGACCCATCTCGCAATGTTGACCCCATCGAAAAGTCCACCTGTTAATTAGCAGGGCGGTGGGGAAAAATCCCTTCAAAAGTGGTCTGATGTCCCGCCAAACCCAGGGAACAGCACCCCTTATTCATAAACTGGGGTTGAGTGGGGTCAACATTACTTTGGTCTTCCATTGGCTGAAGCCCATTCAAGTTTGTAGTTTCCTTGTTGGTTTTAAAGGGAATCCAGCACTACTGGACATGTTTCTTTTTTTATTTTTTCAGGGAGCTTAAGCAGTGGAGGTTGTGATTCAAAGGCTGAATGTATACGTCCATATATGCACCCCTAGTTTACGGGTCAATGAATCGTTAGCTCTGGCTTAGTTATGGGGAATCAGCCCCGAAAGGGTCCAAAGTGGCCATGGCTTCATATATTGACCCATACAATCAGCCTTTGAGTGATAGGGAACAGCCCCCCCCCCCCCCGCCCCTTTGGTTTGGGGCAGCATCTTAGACATCGGCCCCCCAACATGGCGCGAGAGGGTTTCCCTTTACCAACTCCCTGGAGTCTCCTTCTGACCCAAATTAAAAATGGGTCAATGACCCCATCATTTTGGGTAATGACCCCATTTTTGAAGGGTCGTGGAGACTCCAGGTCCGAAGTTAGTACCGGCCTCTCGCAAAACTCAAAGAACAGTGGCTAGCGGCTAGCTACGAAACATGGAAAATCTGACATCCACTGGGCCCGTGTTTTTTCTTCTAGGTTCCGCAATGGGGAATCACTCGGGCGACTGAATTTTTAGCAGGCACTCGACATGGACATCATAATTTGGATGGGAATCTGTTGCCCCAACATTGTTAGAATATAACTCTTGGCTGCTTGGTTGGGTCTTGACACCGTCCAAGGTTTTGAGCTTTGTACTTTGTTGGAAGACTGTAACTCTTTTGTTTGGCCAGGGGGGCAATCCACTCGGAAAGTGAGTTGAACCAACATCATGAATGGTTGATTGCAATTGACTAGGGGTCTATGCAGGGCTTGATTGATGGCTTCATTTGTGTATTTATAGCCTTTGAGGATCTGTTTTTGTTTTTTTGTTTCCCCCGCAGTTTGTTTTTCTTCTCAGCAGGGAGCGATATTGATCTCAACCCTAAAGCTATAACAACATCTCCCGATAGGCCAAACAGCCCTTTAAATTTGGATATGACTCATTTAGGGGGGCAATAACCCATGTATTTTTATGGGTAGTTTGAAGCTTCAGGTTAGTGTTTTCCCAATTCACGCCCAATAGGTTCTTCCACTCGGGAAGTGAGGTTTAGCCCCGCATCACCCGGATTTATTTTTATTGTATTTTTTGCACAGAGGGAGACCCTCGAACCCAAACATGGCAGAACCCCTCGGACCCCAACCTGGCAGGATCCTCAGACCCAATATTGCATCCCAAAATGGGGCGAGCTCCCTTTTAGTTTCCGGGTCTGTTTTGGTTTTTCCTGAGCTTGGGTGTCCAGCCAAGTTGGTACGTCGGTAACCCGGTTCTAACCCACTTCTAAGTCCCCCGATGGGCGTGGGGTTAACCTAATTACTAGCGTTTTTTTGATCCAGGTGGCCAACCAGCTATCTCAGCGAATCGAACATCCAAGTGGTAACCACGAATGGGAAATTCGGATGCATCAACTGGTTGATTTTGATCAGGGGCTCTCCCTGTTTAGTTCGAGGACAGTTCAAACCACTTGTCTTGGCGGCTCCCAGCCATCCTTAGCTTTTTGGATCTTTTTCGTTGGTTTAGCGGTTGGGTTTCCGTATTGAACCCACGAGTGAAACTCACTGTTAGCAGGGGATCAGAAAACGGACAGCCCAGCTTTGGAGGGAAAGCACAATTCGGATTAAGAACACCCTGATTTCGATTCAACTTGGGGGTGTTTCCCCCTTTTGGTCAGGAAGGTTCACCTGGAGTCTCCTTCTGACCCGAGACAAACAAGGGTCAATGACCAACCATTATTTTGGGTAATGACCAAGCATTTTTTAAGGGTCATGGAGCAGGGCTCTTTAAAAGATACATTTTGCCCATTTGAAACATGGCTTTTTCCACCAAAGTAAAGGGACACCACCATTGACAAGGCAATGTTCAGGTGTATAACGTGCGGATCCCTTTGGAGACTCCAGGCAGACTTTTTGGGGAGGAAACACGCGCCACCGGGCTGCACTCGGCTCGCAGGCGCCCTTGGCTTTGCTGATCGCCGCCCACGCCGATGTCGCCGCCCGCGATGCGGAGGGCTGGACGGCGCTGGACTGGGCCACTGCCTCGGGCCACGAGGACTCGGCGAAGAGGTCAGGTTCCAGCAGAACCGAACCAAGTTTTTTCACGCTTTGGCATGTGTCTAGGTGTTGTTCTGGTGTTCTTTGTGTGTGCTTTTTGGCGTCTTTTGTTTGGTTTTCCAGCTGGACCGAACCAAGAGTTCACTGTAGCTTTGGCATTTGTGTAGGTGTTGTTTGAGGGTTTTTGTTTGTTTTGTTTTTTTCAGTGGGATGCCGCAAAAAACAAGGTTGGTTGAGCCCGACTCCATCTCGGTTTCAGGTTGGGGGTCCCAGTCTTTGAATGGGGCAACTCAGGGCTTAATGGAGGCTTCATAGATTATGAGACTGAAGCAGTTGTTTCAAGCCAAACTTTTTTGAGCTTTTGGAGAAGTTGTCATCATTTCTCCCTGGGCCATGTTTTCCCGTTTGGGTGCTTGCTTTACATAGGGGAGCCTCAAAATGCGTGGTGTGTTTCTTGTGGATGCTCTCAGCATCCATCTTGAGAAACCCCCCCATTCGGATCCGAGCGGTGTGTGTTTGGCCTCAGGCTACTCTTCGCAGGCGTATGAAGGGAAATCATCCAATTCTTAGGGGGCCCCAATCCAAAAAAACCACACCCTTTCGTTGGTCTCGGAGCCCCCAAAATGGGTGTGGCTCAAAATTAAAGAGCTGGGGTTACGCGGGTTTCAGTCTTTGGTTCCATTTACCAGGGTGCCATTTTGGTTCCGGTTTTTTGAGCCACAGCCAAATGGGAAGCACATGATTTCCCTGCTGATTGTTGCTTTGAAAAGCCACCAGACTACGGAGTCGGCTCCATGCCACGAAGCCCTGAGAGGGAAGCAGCCACTTGCTCAAGACCCGGGTAGATGAAGGCTAGTCAGGGATCAGCCAGAAATAGCTGCGGATATCCGCCTGCTTAATTCTTGAAGCATGGTTCTGGGTAGACCATTTTCAAACCACAAGCGTGGGAAATGCTCATCTCTACTTTATGCTGGTTGGATGATGACCAGTTTGGTGGCCAACGGAGAACAAATGGACCGGGTGATACCATCCAATGCTTCCGGTTACCACCACGACCAGGATTCCTGACCTAAGGTTTACATCATCGGAAACTCTTGTTTCCCCACTCTACCCTTGGTTAACCCTGGGTTTCCATTTTCGGAAACCCTTGGTTCCCCACTCTACCCAATTTAATACTCATGTTTTACATTTTAACTCAGTCTACCCACCCTAACCACTCTACCCAATTTAATAGTTCTACCCACTCTTACCCACTCTACCCACTCTTGTTTACTTTACTCTAAGGCTCCCCACTCTACCGACCTTTAATACCAAGTTTTCGATTCTGACTCAGCTGACCGTCCGCCAGGACTTCGCCCTGGAGTTGCTGCACCTCGGCGGCCCGCTGCTGGCGCAGAGCTGCAAGCGCTCCGTGCCGGCGCTGGCACGGGCGCCTTGGGCGCTCAGGATGACCTCCAGGTGCTTAAGAGCATGTTTGTTTTTTGTGTTTTATTATTATTAAACTTATGAGTTGGCTGCGGGTCAAAAATAGGGTAACCCCAAAATGGGTTGCCCTGGAAAATGGAACCAATTGGACTAAAACCAGCGTTTTTTTTTGTGGTTTCATGTTGACTCGCAACTCAGTTGGAGAACTCGTTTTTGTTTTTTTTGTTTTAGTCCTCGGTGGCTGGGAGCGCCATCCGGTTCAACTTGGCTTTTTAGATCTTTTTCGTGTTTAGTGGGGTTGTCGATTCAGCCCACGAAAAGTTAAACTTTTATCGGGGGAGCTGGGGACAGCTCAGTTTGGGGGACCTCACTCCCTGATTCCTGGACTGTTTTTTTTGGGGGGGAAGTGCATTTTAGTTGCAAACAACAAGTTTGGGCACTTTTTTGTTGGCCCATCCGCTCGATCGGAAGTGAGGACGGGTCAACTTGGCGAATCGAACAGCCAAGCACCCTTCTTTTGGCTGGGTTTCAAGGCTAGGTCCCCCAGTAATTACCCTTTCTCACGCTTTAGGGTTCCCCTACTGAAATAGGCTACAGAAAAAAGGGTACCCTTAGTCTCATCTCTTCACTGGAAGACCTAGGAGGGGAAACCCGCCTATGTTCCCCTTTGAGACAAAACGGCCGCTCCCCGACCACCCACAAAACCCCAACGAGGTTCGGTGAAGTTGTCCTGATTCGCTTTCCCCGGGGTTCAGGTACCACCATAAGTTTCTTTGGGAGAACAGAACCACCATGTTTTACCCTTCAGGAGTTTCATTATCCAAATTGGGTCCTTGCCAGTCTTTTCATGGGGGTTGGACCCTAGGGTCTATGTCTCTTTGGGGAGACTTGAGGGAACGAGTACCCCCGCAGGTATACTTGAGGACAATTCATCTACATCAGATAAGCAGTATACTAGTGCAGAACAACAATAGTCACACCTGTGCATATACATTACATTCAATCATTGCACTTCAACAGTGGGCAGTTGATGGTGACTGGTTGGCAAGTCCGCTTGTTTCCACACAAACACACATGACTATCCTGCTAAAATAACAAGAGATCCTGAGCAGGTGTCCTTTTGGGAGGAAAGTTGTCTTCTCGGGGGCTTAATTCAGTTTTTATGTTTGTTTGTGGGAGGGTATATTCTACTGATTTAGGCCCTTGTTGCCTAAAGATCACACATGGACCCTGTCAAACATTACATCCGCTGATTTGTTGGAAGGTTCACTTGCCCAAGGCGAATCGAGCTTTTTGACCTTTGGGTCCAACCTTTCACTTCCTTTTGCGAGACCTGCATTTGTTTGGAAAAGCTTCCTTGTTGTAGCCCCGAAAACCGATTGCTCGCCGGTTTCTATTGGCCGCTTTTGTGGAGAGTTCCCCGGTTCCGTTGCTTGGGTCGACCAACGTAGTAGATATCCGTACGGTTGTTGGTTGACTAGCCGAAACAAGAGCCGAGGGGTAACCTACTTTGGTTGAACACCTCATGGTCTTTGGTGGACCAGATCGCCCTTAAAGTTTTGGACTTACAAATGGTTTCTCCACACCTAAAAGTGGACCTACAGAAGGTCTAAACGGTCTTTGGCTCAGGGGGCCTGTCAAACAACCCAGGCCCAGAGTATAGTACTTGTTTGAGAATCCAGGAAAGGAGATATTGCCGAAATTCCCCTGGTATTGGTGTGTATTTGCTGAACTTCCTGTAGAAGTCATTTCCTGTACCCCATGAATATTGGAGGGAGGGTGCTCGCTCGTGCTCAGCCGGGGATGAGGGAATGAACTGGGGATTCCCCTAAAGGAAACCAAATTGGGGATGGGTTGTTCGGGGTCACTCCGTTTCTCATTCCCTGCATCTCCCGCGCCAAGGGTAACACACTTCTCGCCGGCTTCGGGTTTCGGCGAGAAGCGCTACTGCTATTGGGTTGGATCTTTGGACTTTAACTTGTTGGATTCCCTAAAAAAATGTCCTTTTAACCAGCAACAAGTTGCAAAAAACTGTTTGCTGGGGGATCTACAGCACACAAGGAAGGAACCCGCGCACCCGGAACCCGAGGTGGCGCGCAATCGGCATCTCTGGCAGCTCGCCGGTTTGTTGGAGTACGAGCCGCTGATCCGAGCGCAGGAGACGCGAGCGGAACCTGGGAACCCCTCGAGCGAATCAGGTTGTGTTGCTTGGACCACTTGGAGACTCAAACCCGGTTTTTCCTTTTGGCGTTCTTTTTGGGTGGGTGAAAAAGGGGTTGTGGACTTCCTGAGACAAGGCATGGTTGTGTATTTCTGGGTTTTGGGTGGCCAGGTTCTATTCCAAGGGAATGACAAAGTAGTCTAAGAGGTACAGGACACCTGGCCACCAACCCCGCCTCGGCAAATTTTGTGGACGGCCATTTGAGCGGCAAAAAGCAGTTTGGACTTGATTTTCCTAGTCAGTCAGGAAGTGAGGAAGAACCCCTAGTCGATTCATGGGCTGGGTGTCCCATTTTGAAGGAAGTTCGTCACTTTTGGAAGCAACTCCCATCGGCGACGACGTGCTTTGAATTGCCCGGTTTGTGTGTGTCAAAATAGGGGGACCCGCCCTCCCCGCAACAAAAGGTGGCTTTCCTTTTCGGTCCGCATTGGACAGCCTAAAAGGGGTACGGACTCAAAAAACAACACGCAACTGTGAGCCACCACCCCCTAGTAGTTAACCTCGATTTAGGCAAACAGGGCTCGATGAAGTTGGTTGAGCCATGATTGTAAGTCAGCAAAATGCCCCCCCCCCTCCCGAGATGGTGGCGTTCCCGTGGGATTCCCGAAAAAACAAGGTTTGCCTGTGGATTTCCCCACGGGTCCCGGTACGAGGTGGGACAATAGGGATTGATGAAGGTGGTCATCCCCTCAAAAAACAAAAAATGGCTTTCGTTTGGGTTTCCCTTTCAACCAACCAAACCAAGGCTTCTGACTCCATTTTGACCCTTTCTTGTGGGTATCAAAGTGGCTGTGGCTCAAAAAACCGTAAATGAAACCCTGGTAAGTGGAAACATGGACCAAAACCTGCGGTTTGCCCCTCCTGTTTAATTTTGAGCAAGTACCTGGAGTCTCCATGACCCTTTAAAAATGGGTCAATGACCAACCATTATTTGGGTAATGACCAACCTTTTTTTAAGGGTCAGAAGGAGACTCCAGGTAAGGGTTTGGCTCCATATACTAAGGTGACATTTTGGTACATGTTTTTGGGCCACAGCCGGTATGTATGATTACCCAGAACCAAACAAAGCGGCCTCGAGATCTCGATTCCCAGGAGGAGTTCTGCCAGATCCTAACGGACCCCAGGCCAAGGGGAAGTGGGGGCTTCGTGGGTTTGTGTATTCTAAACCCTCCCACCAAACATGGGTTTGTGCGACGAATGACTTTCCTCTTGGAAAGTGCGCCTTTTTTGCACTTCTATGATAGTTGGTGGGAGGGTAATTACTCCTGTGAAGGACCCCTTTAGAAAGAAAGACGACTTTCCTCTTGGAAAGGGCCTTTTTGCACTTCTATGTTAGTTGGTGGGAGGGAACTCCTGTGGGGGTTGGCATGGAAAGAATCAACCTCAAGTTTGCTCTGAGCTACAGATGATCAAACGCTAAGCCTGGAAAACTGTTAAAGTTTGGTCTTCTTTTACGGCCGCAGCAAGTGTGCCTTCACATGGCGTGGTTTCAGGATGGGAAGCCCTTCCATGATTGAGCATGCAAGAAATGCCACTTAAGTGCCAAGCTTCGACCATCTTGGGGCTTTTTTGATTGCGGCCCACAAAGAATCTAGTTGCCCCGAGTTGCCCCACTAACCCCAGAAAGCCCCACTTAGCGACTTAGGGGCAGACTGAAAGGGGCCTGCAAAGGGGTCAAGAGAGGGCCTTTGATTCCTTGGCTCGCGACCAATGATTTTTGGGAGGAAAACCACAGCTGGTCTCGCTGAACTTGAATGTTAGGGCCAGGTTCTGTGATACCAAGAGGATCCCCAGTCAAAAACTGAGGTCGTGGGAATCGCCTTTGGAATTTACAGAAAGGTCATTCCCCACTGCCGGTTTTCCATACCTGTTCTGAGCGCAATGTCCCGCAACAAAACTGGCACGGCAGGTTGCAGGCTTCCACTCAGAGCTAGTGGATCCAATAATTGGATCCAATTATCTGGGACCACGCTTTCAAAATAAGAAGGAAAGTGGCTGCTTACCTACTATATGATAATATGGGTTTGCCTGCGATCCACTGGGCACTAAGCTAAGTGTGAGTTTGGTTCCGGGAAGCTGAGTTCTCGATTCGTTGCTGGTTTACTTGCATCTCGACGTGGAATTGGTTGGTGTTTTATGAGCGGGCCGGGTTTGGTTAAATCACCGCCCTCGCCAACGCGCGCCTATTGGCAAACGAGCAAGCGGGTGTTTTTGTTCAAAGCCAGGCAATCCACTGCATGGACCTTGGAACAGCCTTCCACCTGCTATCAGTTTCAAGAGGTGGCTAACTGTTCATGTCGCAAGGGATTCATGGGATGGATTTAAGGACCTATGGTCCACTCAAAGTCTACACAAGGGTTTCTTCCATTTGTACTTCAGAAATTGTGTGTTTCCCTGTTGGTTTCAAAGGGCATCTATCACCAAACATGTTGTTTTACTCTTTACAATCCTAAGCTGTTCCAGTGGAAAGAAATTGGAGCCTGCAGTGTGGAAGTTTGTGCAGAGGCTGCAGCAGAAGGGTGCTACATTTGGCTGGCTGAAGAGGGCAAGGTACTTGTCTTCAATCCCATTTTGTCCTCTTTTGTTTTCCGCTTGGTCCCTTGCTAGTGTGCGAGACAAGCCTGGTGAATGAGATCCGAGAACATCATGGTAGCACACGGTATACCACCAAGAATCCAGCATATCAGGGTCTCATATGGGTGTGGCTCAAAATTAAACAGGAGGGGCAACCCGCAGGTTTTGGTCCATGTTTCCACTTACCAGGGCAAGCCATTTTGGAATTCCGGTTTTTTGAGCCACAGCCATATTCTACTTTTTCCTGGTGCTAGTTTGAATTAAGCCATGCTGCGGGCGGTTCCCTACAAGCAGAGCGCGCAAGGGGATGAGGGGATGAGCCAAGAGGTTTGCCATTTCACCGAAAGAGTGTATGTGGGTGTGTGTTTTTGGAGGACACCTTTTTGAGTTGTTGCAACGGGTAACCAAGATGACATCAATAGTGTTGGGTGTAATTGCTCTCCAGACAAAAAAGGAGACCAACCCATGTATGTCTGCTTATATATATATATATGTATATGTATATATGGTTTATTTTAGTTTTGTCCCATGTATGTCTGCTTATACATATATATATATATATATACATATATATATATATATATATATATTTGCGTGTGTCAGGACGCAGCTCACAGATCTCTTGGTCCGGGGACACCTCCAGCTCAACACGCCCATCGGCGGTGAGACGCCCTTGGAGTGCCGCCTGGCGACGAGAAAACAACAATTCCCGGAGCTCGCGAGCGAGCGGTTTTTTGGAGCCATGGAGAATGGCTGCCCAGTTGGTATACCTGCCTCACTCGAAGGAAACTACGGGTCAGCTGGAAGGGTACTCTTTGGCTTGAGGTTTCTCTGGAGCTCGTGATTCCAGTTCCCTGTAGGCAAAAGAGAAGCCTTCAATCAACTGGAGAATGGCCCAGGGCTGTCCAGGTGTGTCATGGCTTCAGGCTTTGAATCCGAGGTCTTTCGAAGGAACGGGTCCCGTGCCAATTATGTTCATTTGAGGAAAATCTTTAAGTTGGCCTCAGGAGTAGTGTAAGTGGTCAGTGGATGAGCGCATGTGCGCTGACCGAATCTGTGTGGGGGCTGCCCAGTTGGAGACAAACCCTTAGCTATACTGACTTGTTTGCGAGTGAGGTAGTGCCAGGTATACCGTTCAAAGACATGTGGGGTTGATCAATACTTCTGGCCCCAAATAACCATGGCTAGCTTTTCCCATTTAGTGGTGAAAGTCATCTTTTCTGGATGGTTGTCCTAATGGTCGCCCCATTTAAAGGGCCTTTTCATCAAGCCCCACGTGGCATTTTGCGAACTAAAGATCATGCGACCCATATGATATGTACCTGGAGTCTCTTGGAGTTTGCGCCCTTAAAGGCCACCCAGCAAAGGCCAACCTGGCATTTATTCTGAGTTTGCCCTGTTTTTTGGTGGGTTGAAAGGCCAGCATTTTTGGAGCGGGGAAGGGGGCTGAGGGGCCTTTTGGAATGAAGCATCTTGGTGGCTTGGGGATTCCAAGGGAAGCGAAATCGGGGATGGTTGATAGATTTACTGCTGAGATCCAGCTTTGTTTGGAGTTTGCGCTGTTCTTGCTGGGTTCAAAGGCCAACCTAGCGTTTTTAGAGAGGTAGGGAAGGGGGCTGAGGACTATGTTTTTGGGGTGAACCTCTTGAAGATTCCCTTAAAGGAAGCCAAGTCGGGGATGGTTTATAGGGTCATGCCATATTTCATTCCCTGCTGAGAACCAGCCTTTGTTGGAGTTTGCCCTGTTCCTGGTGGGTTCAAAGGCCAACCTAGCATTTCTGGAGAGGGGGGGAAGGGGGCTGAGGAGTATGTTTTTGGGGTGAGTTGTGGGTTGTGGGGTTGTGGGGTGGCGCTTTTCTTGCTGGTGCGATAGGTAGGGAGTGACCGTCCGAGTTTGGGAATGAACCGCCTGGGGATTGTCGCAAAGGAAGAAACATCGGGGATGGTTTATAGGGGTCATGCCATTTCTCATTCCCTGCGGAGAACCAGCGTTTTTTTGAGTTTGCCCGTTTCTTGGTGGGTTAGAAGGGGAACCAAGAGGAACACCCACCCATTTTGGGGGTACGTACCCCAAAAATCACACCATATGAGAACATATGTTGTTTGAAACCCACTTATTGTTTGCGGTCCCCATTTTTTCTTGCTGGTTCTCAGCAGGGAATAGACATGGAATGCCCTTGAAAAAAAGCATCCCTGATTTGGGTTCGTTTACGGGAATCCCTAAACGGTGCATTCCCGACACCCTGAAGATCATTCCCTACTGAGCACCAGAAAGTTTTGATCGTCGCTTAAAATGGAATCCTTAAGGTAGGGGGCATGTGTTTTTTGGGAGTTTCTTTTTGGTTGGGTTTGAGTCGGTTTTCAAGGGAAGCCCAAATTCTAGAGGAATGTTCTAGTGGGTTTTACCCCCCTGTTTTCGGTTTCCACTATCGAAAAAGTAACCAAGATTGCTTCCTAAAGGTTTTACATCATCTAGGTCCCCCAGTAGTGCCCCTTTGCCCCTTTTTTTTGGGGAGGGTTCCCCCAATAAAAAAAACGTCCTGAAAAAAGGGTACCCAAAATCCAACCTCTCCACTGGAGGAACTAGTAGTAACCAGGACTACTCACCTAAGGTTTTACATTTCTGTTGTGTGGCTCCCTTTTTGTCTGAGAGCAGCAAACACAGAGCGCGCCTAAGGCGCTTGGCACAGGAGCTCCTCCTAGCGGCCGTGCAAAAAAAAGAGTTTTCCCTCGCGGTTGGCATGTCTCCGGGTTAGCTGCTGTTCATCTTGGCTCATCATTGGTTCATCATTTCGCAAGGCTCCTCGTCATTTCTTCATGGTTTCTTTCTGCCATAAACCGGGTGTTGTCATTTGTTCATGGTTTCTTTCTGCCATAAACCGGGTGTTTTGCATGATTTGCAGGTTGCGTTTTTTTGCTTTTTTTTGGTTTCCGCGTTCGGCGTTGGGTGCGCGTAGGTTGCCTCCGCTTCCAGCGCCCGGATCTGGCGCTGCAGTTGCTGCGCTGGCAGGCGGATGTGGCGCAGGTGCCCGGAGGCGGGGAGAAGCGGATGGGGGCGCCATGGGGCGGATGGGGCGCGATGGGGGAGGGGGTTGGAGGTTGACCTCAGATGGTACCATTGGTGTTGACCCATACCCCGATGGGCCAATGACCCCATTATTTTGGGTAATGACCAACCTTTTTTTCAGGGCCAGAAGGAGGCTCCAAGTGAGCCACTTGCTCAAAACCGGGGGATTGATCAAGGTTAGGGACAATCCCCTTGTCATAAACAGCTGCGGATATCCGGCTTCTTAATTCTTGAAGCATGGTTCTGGGTAGACCATTTTATTACCGAGTTTTGACTATGACTCAGATGGAGTCTCCATGACCCTAAAAAAATGGTTGGTCATTACCCAAAATAACGGGGTCATTGACCCATTGGACAGTCATTGGATGGTTTGGGACATAGCTAGGGGGCGATGGTTTACTAGATTTTTTTTTTTCTGTTGCGCCTTTACTTGGAGGGTTTGGCACGAATCGCTAAGTGGTTAGCTTTGCCCTAGTTGTACCCCATGTACCATGGTAAAGCAAGTCCCCTCTTTCGCCAGGGTTGCTACCCATGTAGCTCAGTCCTAGAACATCCCAAGTATGGAAAAATGCCAACTGACCCTAGCGGAAAAGGGCACCATCGCAAACAAAAGGAAGGTTTTTTTCGTTGGGTCAAACAAAAACCTGTATATGGGGGTTGATCAATACTCCTGGCCCCCAAATGACCATGGGTAGCTTTTCGCCATTTAGTGCTAAGTTTAATCCTTTTAGTGGTGTCCTAGATGGAAAATGCTAACTGACCCGAAATGAAGAAGATTAGAAATGGCGGTGTCCTTCCCTTTAAGCCAAGCTGAAAAGGGCACCATCGCAAAAAAGAAAGGCATGATTTTTGGTTGGGTCATATCCACCCTGTATATGGGGGGTTGATCCATATTCCTGGTCCCCAAAGGACCATGAATAACTTTCCCTGTTTCGTGCGAACTTTCATCTTTTGGTGGTTTCCCCCAATGGTCATCCCATGTAAAGGACCTGTTGATCAACCAACAAACCTGTTTATTAACATGGGGGTGTCCCTGGGTGAAATGTGGGGAATCGGAATTAGCTTGGTTTCAGTTTGGAATCAATAGAGGTTGGGAGGAACCAAGGAAAACACTCAACAAAAACGACACACTGCAGGTTTTTTTGGGGTTGACCATTGGTGAGGGTGGGAAAATGAAAGCTAGGTCCCCCAGCTGTGTCCTTCTACCAGCTTTTTTGGTTGGGAGGGTTCCCTTACTAAAATAGACTACAGAAACAAAAAGTATCGGGTACCCTTATTCGAACCTCTCCACTCAAAAACCTAGTATAGTAACCAGGTTTACTTTCCTAAGGTTTCACATTTTTGTTGTCTGGCTCCCTTTTTGTCTGAGAGCAGCAAACACAGAGCGCGCGTAAGGCGCTTGGCACAGGAGCTCCTCTAAACCCGCTGGGGTCGGCTGCCGAGCCTCTAACTTTGCATTTTGCCAAGGGCCATTAGGACTTTAACTTTTTGCCAACTCATGGGTTTTCCGAATTAAACCACTAAAAGTTCGTCACTTTTAGCAGGGGAGCATGACCGAGGAAAGGGAGAAAAACACAACCGCCCTTTGGTCGCGTGAGATTCGCGCGCGAGAGATGAGGTGCAGCGCGCGTGCTGGACATCTCACGGTGCTTGCCCTTCTCGGAGCCCTGTCGAGCCTCGGCGGCTGTGTTCTGATGCATGGCTTTGGGCATACTGTGGATGGTTGCGAAATCCATTTCGCACCACCTGAGAAACCCTGGAATCTGTAAATACCAGCAAACAATGGTTTTCCATGGTTTCAAAGTGGTGCAGGATTTTGTCAGTCCACAGTAGGTGTCCTTGTTGGGTGGTTTGCGTAAAACATAGAGGGCGATTCCTGGTTAGATGGGGAGTTTAACCCATTTACCAGGGCCTTCTATTTTTCCAAAAGGCCATCTGTGGCTTTTCCCTTTAGGGTGGGCGGGGGGTCGGTGGGTGTGGGGGGTGGTGGGTGTGGGGGGTGGTGTGGTGGGTTGGTATGGGTGGATGTGGTGGTTTGTGTTCTGAACGTCGCTGTTGGTTTCTCTTTGGGGTGGGTGTTCACGCTAAGTAGGTTACAACGATGCTTACAAGGGAACTAACCCTAGTTATCCCACTTGTAACCACGGTTGTTCTCATCGCAGAAAGAGGGGAGTGGTGGTGAGGGGGGGGGTGGTCGGTTGGTACGGGCGGATGTGGTGGTTTGTGTTCTGAACATCGCTTTTTGGTTTCCCTTTAGGGTGGGTGGGTGGGTGGGTGGTTTGGTTGGGGGTGGGTTGGGAGTGGGTTGGGAGTGGGTGGGGGGTGGGCGGAGGGTGGGGCGTTGGGGGTGCGGGGTGGGTGTGGTCTCTTGGCACCTTCTGTGTCGACTAGAACAGGGGACGACGCAGACCCTCACAGGAAAGTCGTTTTGGGTATGTCTCATGGGACATGTCGTTGGCGGCTTTGCCCTATATCTCATCCATGCAAGCAACTTGAAAAGCACTGGGTTGTGCGAATGAGGGGTTCCCATTCCTGTGACACCAGGGAGCCTTCCTGTTCAAACGGATAATTTGTCATTTAGAAGGTCATTCATGGGCAAAACCAAGCGCCCATCTGTTTCAGGAGTTTGTACTCTCAGGATCACTGGTTGGGCATCGCCGAACAAAAAGGGTCCCAAGTCGTCAAGTTGGCATGGGTCACTTGTCTGGGAGGGAAAGGAGACCACCTCAAGTCTGGGAGGAGCCGCCTATTTTGCAAAGTTGAGGACAGCTGCACACCAAAATAGGTGCACAGGCACCTTAAGCACTTGAGAGGAAAACTTGAACAGAGAAACTTGCACAGAGGAACTGAAAGGAACTTGCACGGACACTTGCACTGAGAAGCTTGCCATTTGAGAGCCTGTTTCACAACTTCAGAAGCCATGGAGGGCTCCCTTTTTGGCTCCATATCCAATGGCTTCCCTCAAAAGAATTGGCCGCGATGTATGACAGGGCCATGATGTCCATGCCGTGGGAGGGAGTTGCGGCGACGTTGCTTTGTGACTTGGGATTCAAGAGCCGGGCGAAACGCAGCCGCGTAGCCGCGGTTTCCCCTCGAGCTGTGATGGGGTAGGGTGAATGCGTCTAGAAGCCACCAAGGGTTCCTGGTGCTTCAGCCGAGCCATTCTGGTTGAATTCCGCTATTTGTGGGGGAAGACAAGCAGAGTGCAATTCGGGTCACCCCACCCCCAACTCCGCAAAACGCAATTCACCTCGCGCACCGAGGAGAGTTGCAGTTTCTCCTTACTTCGCACCTGGATCAAGCCGAACGTGCGCGTCCGCCGCCGCCGCCGAAAGTGTGGTGATGGCAAAAATGTGCGAACAGGGTGGCGGATGGCAGGTTGTTTCGTTCCCAGACTTACTTGGGTGTTGAACCAACTTTGCAAAGAGGTTATAACCATGGCGATAAAGAAACCATTCCCTAGTTACTCGACTCGCCGGCATAGCGATAACCTACTTAACGTGATTGAACACGCAAGCAGCTTGCCTTTCTATCTGTTAAGCGGGATGAATGTTCCCTCAAAAGAGATCAACTGGATCGCCTCGATGGGACGCCATCCTTGAAATCAACCAGGGGTGTCAACATTTACAGATTGCGGGCACATAGCGGCGTCTGTTTCCCCCAAAAGACCGCACTTTCTCTGGGAATCGAATCGGTCGTGTGTTTTGGTCACAGTGGTTTTCCTTGGCAGGGCCGCTGATGTTTAAGAATGACACATTGGGCGTGTTTTTTGTTAAGGGGGACCCCCCCCAAAAAAATGGCAAGGCGCTCCTTTTGGTTTCCCAACAAGGGGGGTACCGTACCCCAAAAAAGGGACACACCCCATTTTGGGGAGCCCGGAACGTGACGTGGGGAATGTGGGGAGCGTGAGGAGCAAAGCAAGGCGCTCTTCAAGCAAGGGACGGTGATGATGTCGCGCTGCCGGCATGTGATAAAGGTGAACTAGGTCCCCCAGCTAGGTCCCCTTTTCCCCTTTTTTGGTTGGGAGGGTTCCCTACTAAAATAGACTACGGAGAAAAAACATAAAAAAATAAAACATAAAAATATAGCCTCTCTACTGGAGGACCTAGTTCACATGCTCAACAGGCGGCTGGGGCGGGAATGGAGTGGCGGCGAAACCTTCCGATGAGGATCTTGCCTGCTTCTTATGGTGTGTGTTTCTTTCTTCCCCTTTTTGGGTTAGTTTAGAGGGACACCGAACGGAAAACCGCTATTTCTGGGGCTGTTTCTGAAAAAGACACCCATTTGGGTTGGATGGGCGAAATCCGTGCGCACCATTTTGAAACCATGGTTGAAACCATTGTTTGTTGGTATTCACAGGGGAATCAGGATTCCAGGGTTGCTTAGGTCCAGATGGTGCAGGATTCGTCCATCCAGAGTAGCGTCTCCTCCAAGCTTGTGTTGTTGAAGTTCAGGGTAGACCAAATATGGAGCAGAATCATGAGCATATTGAATATGATTCAGTGTACCCTAGATGTGACCCTTGAATATTGGGGTTCTTGTATTTCCGGTGTGTAATGGTTGGTAATGCGCCCAGATGTCGAGTTGCAGAGGATTCAGAGACCCCGGGGAGCTGTTCCCTTCACGAGGAAAGTGGTTGCAAACTGAACTATGCGTGTCCAACCAAGTCTTCAACCATCCAGCCCACCAGCCAGCCAGCCAACCAATCAACCAACCAGGTGCTCAACTAGCCAGCCAGGCAGGCGGTCGGCCAACCAGCCCGCTAACCAGCCAGCCAACCGACCAACCCACCAACCCACCAACCCACCAACCCACCAACCCACCAACCCACCAACCCACCAACCCACCAACCCACCAACCCACCAACCCACCAACGAACAAAGACCAAGCAATGCCAGGTCAGGGTTGCGGAGGTTTTGGGACTCTGGCCTTGCGCCCCTAAGCAGACTTTCATCGAAAGGCAGTTGGAAAAACACGCCAGTAGACTGACCAACCAAACCTGAGACATCCGAGACGATTCTTGGAGCAGGAAAAACAACAAATCACAAAATCACATGGGCCTCGGCCATCAAAGTCAGAATTGGGGTGGTTCCTTTAACACCACCTCTTAGGGGCTGACTTTGACAATGCTAAAAAAAAATGGGGCCAGTTGGGGCACTTCCCAACCCGATGTTCGCATGTGAGTACAAGCAGCTTCCTTGGGTTTTTCTTGCTTCCCCAAGGCCTGCTTTCTGACCACCGAACCATCGACTGATCAACCCCATAGCTCCCAAGCCCAAAATGGAACAAGCCATTGCCATGACTCATGTTGGCGCGCTTGCCTTGCCAAAGCGAATCCACCGGATCTGACCTTTTGGTTTCCGTTTTTGGTCATCATGAAAGTCATGACCCCAGCAGGTGGTCACCTTTTATATCTCTTACCTCTTAAAAACACAACTTTTCAACTTTTGGGGGTAACATGGGCCATATGTCTGTAAAAGAACTTTTTCAGGGCTTGGAGTTTGAAGGGGTAAGATCTGGGTCCCTGAAGTGCGACTCTGAGTTCCTCGACTTTGAACACTTTCTTGGAAGGCCATTTTAGGGCAACGGAAGTACTTCCCTGGACGGTTTTTCGCCAATCCGCCCGGGAAAGTGAGTTCCTCTTTTCAGACACCAGCCCTACCAGCCAGTTGACTTGCGGGGGGGGTGCGCAGACACCAGTCAAGGCCTCGGTGGTCAGACCCGCAAACGGCTCAGAAGGAAGGCCTGCCTCAACGGAGGTTCTCACTTTTTGGACATTTGGGCCTACAAAATGTGAACGACTGCTTGCAGACGGGTCTCGCCAGCAACCAAGCCCATGTGTTCTTGTTTTGTTTGTTTTCGCATCTGACTCACACGTATGGATTCTCTTAGGGTGCTTGCACCGAGGACCATGTGTCTTTTGTTTGCATCTCAAACTGGAGCCCAAATTTGGAACCCATAAAATGGGCAGGGGCCAGATCCATGCAGGATTGCCATCTATAATTGATGCATGACTTTGACGCCGTGCGGATTATTGGTTGCATTATTTCTCCTACTTCCAAAGCAAGACAATGCAACCCACATGGAAGTTGCAGTTTCGTAACTGGTGGGCGCAACACAGACGTTTGGATCTGGTTGGTGGATAACTTCTTGACTTAGAGAACTTCTCAAGTCTCAACACCAGAATGTTCAGAAGTTCGACCAGATATGGCATCAGGGCTTTCTTGCATGTGTGTTGCCAGAGTGGGGCAGCCCAACAACTTGTTGAGTAGCTTGGTTTCCTATTGCGCCATACATGTGATCGACGTTGTGGTTCACGGCAAAGCAAAGGAGGGCTTGTCAAAGCGAGGAGATTCCTTTCTGATATCCCCGCTAAATGGCGGCACCTTTCTGGTCCAAAAAGCAACAGGCAATCTTTTTGCCTCCCCCCCCCAGCAAATACAAAACAAAAACGATGCCATCTTTTGACCAAAGCAAAGCCATCTTTTGAATCCAAGAAAATGGCCTGTCTTTTTTACCAAGAAACACCCATTGTTTCGATTTACATGGCGCGGATGCCAAAACGCGCGCGCGTTTGCCAGGCAAATCATGGCGTCCAAGAGCAAGCAGTTGGACGAATCTCAGATCCAGCGCCGTGGTCCGCAATAGCTGTTGTTTGTTGTCGTTTTGTCCTGGGTTTCTTTTGCCTGGGTGTTTACCTGTTTTTCTTTTGCCGCGGTATGTCTTTGTTCTTTTTTGCCTGGTCTTTTTGTTCGGCCTTACCCACGAGAAAAGGGTTGCGAAATGTAGGAAACCCATTCACCCGCCGGTTTGTCACCGAAGCCGCCAGGGGGTGTTCTACTTTTTTCTCGGTGTGAAGCATCGCCGTGGCCCATAGCAAGCTTCCCACATGCTCAAAGCTTCCCTTGGCTGAAACGCACACGTTGCTCCTTGTTGGTTTTAAAGGGAATCAATCACTGCTGGAAATATGTTCATTCTTTCCAGGGGGCGAACAAAGCAAATGGAAGAAAGGTAGCTTGGCTTCTTGGAATTTGGGAATATAGGGAGAACTCTGTAGATGCGAAGTCGTGACTCACAACAGTATGTTCCTCACGGATGCCCTAAGAAATATGGGAACAAGACAACCCGGCAAAGAAGTACTAGAATTTACCAACCAGCTGCTGGTTGGATGTGGTTGGTTCACTTGAAATAGTTGCTTTTGCATTCCACCAGCCTTTTTTCGCAAAATTTGTTGCCGCACCGTCTCCATTTGATCGTTGCAATCAGTCCCAGTACCGGTGCTTTACTTTGTCCCTATGCCTTGACAAGAACTCTGTGCTTCCAGAAATGCTGCAAAACATCTCAATATGTAAGTATGATATGGATACTTGGAGAAGTTTGGACAGCCTATGTGCGATGAGAAATATATTTTTGAGCAATCTTGAATACAGGACTCGCGCACACACACACACACTTTGGCAAATGATAACGATACTATATCACGGAGTGGGGGTGGGGAAAGGTGTGACGTCACCCATGGCTACGGAGTGTTTCATGGGGATCCCTTGCTGAACTTCAAATGGGGGAGTCTTTCTTAGAGGGTATGACCCTTATTTGGTTGGAAGGGAAGCCAAGAGTAAAACCACCATTTCAGTGGGTCACGCACCCAAATGCCCTGACACCTTCAAGATCATTTGTTGCTTCGCCAATCCCACCATCGTGAAAACGGGGCTGCCCCAAAGCGCCAGTAGTCTTCCAACACCCTCCTGTCAGCTGTCGGTGATTGCTGGCTGTTGGGCTCTGGAATCTCATCAACTCTTGGGAGGACACAACTGGCTCAAGATTCACCATTGCAGTGCATGTGTGCTGCTGTGTGTAGAAATATTGCAAGGATATAGCCTTTTTCAGAGCCGCACTGGTATTCCAGCTTGGCTTGTCAACTGAGTATGGGCCAAGATTAAACCACCAGGAATTGGACCACTGGTTTTAGTCCATGTGTCCATTTACCAGGGCTTGACCCATTTTGGGGGTCCTATGTTTGGCCAGCCAAATTCATGGAAACAGTCCAAACCCAGAGGGACAGCTTCCTGGCCGCTGAAAGGGTATTGTTTCCAGCCACCCAATGCTTAGGCGTTTAGGTTTGCAGGGTTTAGTGATAGTGCCCACCAAACCCACTAACTTTTAGCAGGAGATCAGAGGACAGCCCAGTGTCGCATCAGGATTTGAGTGCGGCTCCACTAATCTTGCCGGCTGGTATGCTGGGAGTGCTCAGTTTCAAGAGTTGTGTTCTTGGTCATGCAGTACCACATGGGATTGGGTGAGGATGCATTTGCGTGATTCCATGAAATGGCGATTCAGGGGAGG